AGTAAATGGTTATTTTCGAAACATCCCTACTTTTACAATCCTGTGGAATAGACCGTAGGTTTAGGCAGTTGTCTGGTAGCAGAGGTACTGTAAGCAGATATCCTGGTTATCTGGCCGGCGGTAGTAACACTCGCGGTGCTTACCGCCACTGTTGCTGGAATTTGGCTTGTTCCAGGCGCGCTTAATTAGGTACAGGCACCGTAAGACGGTGGGGCTGTCTTTGTTACTAGACACGACCATGATAGTCCGATCTTTATGTGAATGCAATGATTGTGTGTGTGTAATTAAAATGAAGTTAGAACTTGAAGCACAGTATCTTTACACGCCCTGGGAGCAGTAATGGATTTAGCTCTTTGTATGTTTTATGCTTGTGACGCGCCCTCATTGTATTAGCCGTTGCCTAATTATAATGTCTGCACAGTAGGTCTGGCGTTGACGCTTGGGATTTTGTTGAAATATATAAAACTTCACGGAGAATTGTCGCCTATGGCTTCTTGTTTTTATTCAGGCAATGTTAGATGGCCTTAGATCTGGCGGAGGGAAATGCACGTGTAAATCCCCGCTAACGCAAACATCATCGTCTTCTTGACAGTTTTATGAATCAGCCCGTCACTCAGCGAGAAAAACTATTATGAGCTATCTTCTACAGCTCTACAAGGAGCAGAATAACGTCAATCAGGTGACTGAACTTTGCTTTTCTGGTCGGCGAAAGAAGAGCTTGGTAACAATACAAAGTGTAGCCCGACGGTAGTTTTGGGCCGCTAACGTTGACAGATAGCGCTCCTACCTTGACGGCGTCTGTGATGGCCCAGTAGCGGTCCAGGGCGATGACACAGAGAGACAAGATGGAGGCCGTGCAGGAGGTGACGTCCAGGGAGATCCACAGGTCACAGGCGGGCCGGCCCAGTCTCCACGTCTGCATCAGCTCATAGGTAGCGTTCAGCGGCATGACCTGGGGAAAATAGCGCCCACGGCACGGTTTACAAGACACTCTATGGATGGATGGATGGATGGACATTAGAGGGTCGGGAGGAGCGTAGAATGAGTCATCTAAAACACAGAAGTACAGAAATAACTTGCGGCGAGGTCACCATCCAATTCTTCGCAGTATTTCACGTGAACAGTTATGGTGGGTCTTGACCTTGTCACAGTCTGCCCAGAAAAGCCCATGGACAAGTTAAGATGTTTCAGGTCATTAACGGAGGATTTAGAAACATTTTCTCTATATCAGCAAGCAGAAGCCGACAGATGACAAGTACAATAGTTCGGCTGACATGCGTGGTGACTGCAAACTCCACACGGCGGCGCGCTGGCGCTCTCAGACAGGCAAACATAGTCCGGGGGATTGAAGTATTTTTCAAGGCGCCTTTTGACGTAGAGTGGATTTACAAAAAAAAACATGTCACCATCGGGACGTCCTCACTTTTATGATCTTTACAGAGATGTATGGAACTCAAGTCAGATCAAAACCACCACCAATATAGGATAAATACTCTAACACTGTCAACTGGACAACATGCTGTATCTGTTCCATTCTGATAATCCGATATGTTTTCTTTTAGCAAAAATACATTCATTTCAAACATCTGAAGCTATAGGACCGCTGTACATGGCTGAACAAAACTGTTACCTAATAATAACATTGCACGGAAGACAATTAAAATTGTACGCATGGATGGACCAATAGCGGTACGTAGGCGGTTTGGTGTCTGGGCATCCGATGTTGCTGTATATTGAATATAGGGCGGTACAGAGATAGGTATGTACATCGCGATGCGGTTGCCCTTTTCTTGGTTTTACCCGTTTTTTTTCTAAATTTCTCTTGAGTTGGGTCATTTACCACTGGCAAGGTACGCGTGAGTAGAGTTACTAACAAGACTTGACTATATCTTCCTTTAACGTTAGAACATATATAGGAAAAAGTTTGTTGCATCATCTGGAACAGCAGTTTGTTTGAAATCTTAATGTTCAATTCTGTGCTTCATGTTGATTACAGACGGTAAAATCGATAGCGACCAGGTTTCCCTCCAGTCGCTCACATATCAAAAGGTGCTAGGAAAACATTGCACCGAAATTACGCTCGCACCAACATATGTCTGTTAAACTGCTTACCGTTACTAATAACAGTCATAGGAGGTAGTAATCAAAGTCATACGACGTAAATGTACAGGAAACGGCACATAAAATTGCGCAGGTGATAGAAAAATATTCGTTGTATTAACACATATTAAGCGAAGCCCAATGACAAGTTCCTCTGCAAGCTTGTACATCTAGACGTCTGACTTACGTCCCACAAATGCATGTACCATTTGAGCATGTCAGTATTAACGGATACGGTAGCTTTCGAGCGGAAAGCATCCCAAGTTTAGATAACATTTAGAATAATTGTCTATGACCTGTAGTCACGGGTTAAAGCCTTCGTCCTTTAATCCTATTGACACACGTATGGACTAAATAGATAATAGCGGGATCGACTTACCGACACGGAGACCAGTAAGTCGGCTACAGCCATGGACACGATGAGGTAGTTGGCAGGCGTGCAGAGGCGCCGGTCCTTGATGAAGGCTAGCAGGACCATGGCGTTGCCCAGTATGGCCACGAGGATGAGCAGGGACAGCACCAACCCCGTCAGGACGAGCCACGTCGTGGACGGGGACTCCCGGGCACTGCTGTCGCCGGAAAAAGTTGTGTTGAAGGTGGAGTTCAGGTCCTCCCACTCCCAGACCGAATCGTTCCACACCATCATTGTGGACTGGCTGTCGTTGAGAGACATCGTAGCTGGAGTACCGACGTCCATCCCACCTTCGTCGGTCGGACTGGTTCTGACTATAACGGCCCTGGAGGTAAGCTGGTTTTTACCTTACTTCATTTACATCCAGAATGCCCCAACATGACGGCTGATTGGTTGGCTCGGCTCGAACCCTCATGATCCTCTGCGGTTCCTGATTGGCTAGTGCGCCTGACGAGTGATGAGGGGAATTGTATGTCGATTGGCTACTTTGTGGGGTTGTGACGTCGGCTTGAAGTCCTCTCGTGGAAAATGTATCTCCTGTATTGAGGAATATAAGGACGTCTTCAAATGTTAAAGGCTTTTTCACGTCTGGTATTCCAATTAACCTCTTCAGTAGCGACCGCAGGAACATCTTTACCCGGTAAATAACGGCAAGTCAATTGCTCATCAGCGCAATCCACAAGCCTTTGCCATGTGACTTAGTTTGTCATATCCATGAAAACACGTCAATCCAATTGAGAAGGGAGTTAACATTTGGGAAAATCTGTTTATCGCAACTCATTTCAAGTGTTATGGATTCTAATTGCTCTCTAGCGTGCTATGGTGAATTCAAGTTTCGCAAAAAGTATTAATTTATGTATCAACGCATATATAACGATAGTTATATATAAGAATCATAATTATTAGTGTCATACAAATGTGTAAAGATAGAATAAAGACCGAGTTTATAATGACTTTAACGAATGAATGAACTGGAAAATAGAAAACGCTCAAAATAAAGAAAATGGCTACCGAATTATATGTCATGACTACAGGTTAAACGGGTCAGGGTACAATGGAAATCATGCATTAGGAGGACTAATGGACACGGTCTTTGTTATGTTGCAGTGTATACCATAAAAAGTGACAGAAAGTGAAGACTTGATCTACATGACAAGTAGAAATAACATCCGAATACATATATAAACCCGTAACTCGAACCAGCGAATAAAATACTAAGGCCATCAAAAGACCGTCCAAGTTTTGACGCAGTAATGTGCTTTTAATGACGTACCATTAGTAACCTTTGATTTCCTCCGTGACTACCCTATTTGTGAGACCTTGCGCGAACATTTGTCATGTATATCGTTGGCTACGACTGAAATCTTGAACAGAAATGCGCTGAGCAAATTAGCTCTTACTCGGATACTACATGTAAGAGATTGGTTTGAATTTTTGAAGCATTATCAAAGAAAAGACTGCCACCTTACTAAGATGTGCTTACATCCATAAGGTATATCAATGGTCCAAAAATAGAAACATCTTAACCATAATAATATAGTCCAACCCTACATTTACAACTGTAATAACGTACTGTCACCTACACAGCTAGATAAACTGATTCTTTCCTCCCATCTCATATCATCTATCTCTTAATCTAATCATTTGACCGTTAGGGACACCACTGAATATTTTCTCCCATGCCGTTTTACAAGTGATTGAGATGAAGTTGACAATTGTGGAAAAGACCACAGGAAGCATTTCACTCCTGGTTGCGCTGTTCTATAACACCCGATATGTTAAGGTGTGTAGGATAGTAGTGACAATGATAACATACGGATGGAAACATAAATTAATTTTGACAGTCATTTGTGGGTGTGCGACCACGGTCGTGAGTACAAGTGTTGTGGTATAACCAACCGATAATGCTTTCAGCACCATGGACAGAGCCGGTATCACAAGTTTCCCTGAATGCCTGAAATTGCACCCTTCATCATCTACATGTAGTTTTAGATTTTACTTATAATCTTATCGCCAGCCCAGTACCGAGCAAGGATAACGTCACAGTCACGTTCAAGCATATTTCACGAATTCAACATTCGAATGTTATGGACGTTTTTCCTGGGCCTTGACATTTTACCGCTCATGACGTGTAGTGCCACCACTCTACTTGGCTACTCTAAAAGGTACAAAACGAATGGAAAGCACAACAAAAGGAACTGGGGGATAGCAAAAGCTCAGTCGCACCGTATGATGTTCTTGTGATGTTTTGATATGTACGCGATCACTGGAAATTGTTAAGGCGGACCGCTGGTAAATATTTACCGGTGAACAACATCAGAGCAAGGAGGTCAGAGAAGATCACAGACGCCTGCTGTGCAGACCATGCTAAGATACGGAGACCACACGTGTCTGGACAACATCCAACATCTAACGACAGCCTACAGCAATGGCGACGTCATACCTTCTGATGTTCTTGTGATGGTTTGATAACACTTGATTACCGGTAGGTCTTTAATGTGGACTCCTGGTAAACAGAATGATGGGCTGCTATCCTTTGTTCTATACGGTGTCATAAGGCATGCTCCACAACCACAAGTTATCGAATAAACCAGTGACTGAGTGAAACAGCAGCGGCGCGTAGATACGGAGACAACACGCCAGTGTCATGACCACACTCCGCATCTTTTCACGTAGTTACAACAGACCGCTTCCACACTTACTCTATATCTGTGAAGTTGGCTTTAGATCTGTCAACTCTTCCAACTCGCTGAGTTTGTGCTACTTCCATCTAAGTGATCTCGCCCCAGCAACCATACTGGAACGGCACGTACGCCCTTGGTCGAAGCGGATGCCAACTTCTATTAACGCTGCGTCTGCTGAAGCAAAGAGAGAAAATCCATACTTAAACCCCAGAACGCAGACGGAGTCTGTAGGCTACACTCAAGTCTACACGTAGCGTCAGCTTCACTTCTTCAAACAGGGAACGTTCCCTAACAGAAATTGACCACGTTCCTAATGGTGTGCCTACTGGGAGGGAAAAGTTTCTCAATACTGACCTTCCGGAACGAGTAATCAAGTCGAACGTGCAGTTGACATTGAGTAAGTCTCGTCACTTCCAGTTCTATATCACGTGTTAACGTTAGAATCAATTTTTAATTTTCAAGATAGGCCTAAACTGACCACAGTGCTTGGTATCTTTAATCGTCAAGGCTATCATTTTTCTTAGATAACATGAGTATCTTTGTACACAGCCGATGATAGAAATGCACTATCGATATATCCATTCAGATATGATGGTTTTAGTGTGATTTTGTGTTTGTAGAAAAATCGTTTGTATCGCGCGAAGATTATGTATCACCTTTATGGCTAGTGTCTAATCCCCACTTTATGAGACTGCATACCCACGTCGATAATTCCCGATTTATGTGACCCATGTTATTCTAATATTTCGCAATTTCTTCACAATTACCCTTAGGGGACCCTAGAGAGCCGCGCCTTGATTGTTTCAGACGCAAGTCAAACCGAAATCTTTGTGAGAAATAGCGCTAGCCGTGCACGTAAATCCCCAGTAGAGAAGATAGATTATAACGGTAAGGTCTTGTTGAATGTTGTAGAGAAAAACTCGGCTAAAGTTCATTTTAGCCGAGTAACGATATTGTATAAGAAACTAGGTATAGGATCGTCCGTGGGCGACAACAAATCTAGTCCGTTTGTACTCATGAATGGGGTGACCATTGTTGTCTTAAAGTGAAATTTTGTGTTTATTAGCAGCTCCGTCGTCCTCTTATAAAAACTAGCACATCTCACAGCATGAACAAACCATACTCTTGTCTTGTTGTGCACCAATACTGGGTGTGTTAATAGTCTTTTCTCTCTCGCTGCCGACAAGGGGTCAGGATGTGATACACGTGCATTATATCCACTTGATGAAGTGTTGATTAAAGAAAGATAAACCATGCTGTGCATCATAACGACATCAATTCGCCCACAGCCACCTATGCCCCGCTACTGACGTATGAGAATATGTCGATAGGGACAATGCATCCGTGTTCGGTCTCATCCAGAAACACACTCGGGCTCAATTCAAATGTCGGGAATTATGAACGATGAGGACTTTTATGAATGTCTACCAAACTTCAAATCATTCTGATCATTACTTTGTAGAGACAGTGTTCTTTTTAAAATCAGATACGTTACATGAGAGAAGGAATTTATCATTAAACGCTTAGACAATGGCTTTCGTGGATTTCACGGTATGAGGACCGCACACCCTCCACCCACGCAGCTCTGATCACACTTCTAGCGTATTCGTCATCCCTGCCTCGTAACCTGGCCAGTGATCTTCTAAAGAACGTCACCTGAGCATGCAAAACAATGACCACAATGATTTCAGCTTTCGTGGATATTCATGAAAGGTTTCATACTTAATACTATACATGTATTTATACCCTGAAATTTGAGTTGGGCCCTGGGCGAGGCCGAGAACGTATATTGAACGCCCCTCCTACGCTGGTCCTACGCTGTATTTTATAGATAAATGTGGACTGTCGCTTTTCCGGCGTTTGACCTTAGTCAGATTCACAAACTTTGTAATAACATAAGCTAATTGGAGACAAGACAGGAACAAAAAGGCGTAACGGAGTAAGACAAATTATTCGCCGAGACGGGATGTAAATTAGTGCTTCCTGTACACATGTACACTAGTGAATTGAATTACATGGTGTCTCTTTGTATCATCGCGATCGCTTGATATCCAGATTGCGGATGTACTTATCTTTGGTGGGGTAAAATATATCAATATCGGAAAAAAATAGAGGATGATATTTTGCAGTCGATCAGACATGTTGGCCCTACTAATATGTCTCCACCCTGTGGACACCGTACCTTACAACGTTCCAATCTTGTTCAATTATATGGCAATCATGCCGGATGATCAAGGGGTGACGTCTATTAATGGACTCGGATTAACAGTTGACGCAGTTGATCCACCGGTCTTGTTTGGAATTTATAGTGCTATGAGGAAACCTCCAGATGGAACCCTGAGATAGGTATGATCTTGCCGTTTATTACCCCCACGCTATGAAACTATCAATCACAATTCTCGGTTTACGTTCACGGGATACATTCCTAAAACAATGTAGGACTCTTTGCCGACTTCCATGGAACTCATTTCAAGTTAAACGTTGAAATCAGTGCTCCATTTCATGTGTACCGCCCCTGCTTTCATGAAGACCATGTTCCATGTTCCTTTCCTGGTATGGCCTGCTGAGAGGCAGATCATGCCTTCAAACAGGCCGGCTGGAGTCAACGCCCGATCAAAGAATATGAGAAAGTTTTTCAAACAGAGCCAGGCAAAGTAAAAACCGATCATGGTTACGTGACGTCACTCATGAGAAGATGGCAAAACCCTGTTCAGTGAAACATCTGCACCGGGCAGCTAAGTGCTTTATCACGCGCGGAGCCAAACTGTCTTAGGTGGACATTGAAGAGGGTTGTTTTGTCTCTTTGTATAGTCACGACACACGTCCAGCATTACACGGCTTCGATCCACTAGAATGGACAACATGTGGAGGCTACGAGAGGTGGGGGGCGTAGCTTACTTTGACATGATTTTTTCTGGAAACCTGTGACTGGCGGTGAACTGTCTACAACGTCACAGATATCCAGCATTTGCCTCCTGACGCCATCCATTGAACCAAAGGGATAAAACCAGGCCAAAATATCAATCGACTTTTATCAGTTACTTGTTCTAGTTCAAATAGGATCAAATAGGTACATGACCTTCGACGTGTGTAGATGTGATTCTAAACTCTAAGGCATGAGACAGATACTTTTGACATCTCAACAGACAGTCTGGATTTCCTGTGAAACCAGAATTTTATTGCTAGGAACTGCCCTAAGCTATCCGGAACCGTTACCAATAGCCTTTCGCTCCTTGGTTAGGAAGCATTTCGCAGCAGAGGGTAGACTGTCAGTACAAGTATAAGCCTTTAAAAGCAATGACACTAAAAGCGATAAAAGTGGATTGTATGTTTTTTTTTCCATTTCCCGTAGACAGGCGTTTCTTGAAATGTTCTCCACATTTTCACGGGATATCTGGCTGATGCAACAAAACGTTAGTTTCCAATGGAATTGCGTGAGATACAAGATGTCATTCTGTTTTACGTACACGCTGTAGAAGCATCGCCCAGCATTGTCACCAAATACCCAGGGGTGGTACATATGCACAGTTTCCATCTCAAGCCACTCCGTGGTAAAAGCAGGGACATAATGATGATTGCAATTTCTGTTTATAAAGACTGAAATCACCAGAATTGACAGTATTCATGGGAGGGTTTTGGTAATGCGTGATTGCTTTAGTAATACCATAATGCTTCGAACATAATAATGCGGGGCGTGATAAGTAAACAAAGCGACATGATTAAAGCACCATCGTGAGGCTGTTGTAGAGACTAGTCACATTTAGTAACATAGGTTCTTGACCTAATTATTAGCTGTTCATCTGGTACTGGTCAGCCACTTATATAGTCTGACCACGACTGCCGGTCCAATCTACTTTGTAAATATCACCATGGCTGGGAAAATGAATTGACTTATACGTTTTAGTTGTTTGTAGGACATACTACACGTATCACGCCTGCAATATTTGTGGGCTATCCATAAGCTGGCGTCACATATCCAACGGCCTCCGTAGTGGTGTAGATAGAAGCCGATCCGGCCTTGGATTCTCTGGTGATGATGGACTAGAGGTTATCAGAAATCAGAATTTAGAGCATTTGTTTTTTTTTTTTCGAGAGATGTGTTTCGAAATTAATGATAAAGTGACAATTAGTGCGTGCTGTACCGTCTATTCATTTATGTATAACGAAAAAACGAACCTCCGAAGTGCAACAGTGCAATTGTTTGGAACATGACAGCAGGGCTTATTCCTCAGATTCGCCTTCCAGCATATTGAGTTTGCAACTTAATGGTATTACCGTGGAAACCTTTACGGTGTGATAAGGTCGACCTCTCAGGGCCTGTAGCAAGTTGGGCTTTCCTTGATACCACTTATGGCTACAGAAGATGCATTACATCCGTAGGTCGGGCGGTTTTCATTTCCGTACAACAGAGAATCGAAGAGGGCAACGGCCGTGTTCAGAGCGGCTTACCCAGGGAAAGACTCTATCTAGATTATTATATTTAAAAAATAGCGTATAGTTATCTTACGACCATCTGGGAGAGGGCACATGTAAATGAAGGGTAGTCCTGCAGTGAACCACGCACATTTGGCCTCTCCAACATGTTGCTTGAATAGCCGGGAATACGGGGAATACATATATTGCAATCTCTCCTATGCGTGGGAGTTGTTCTGTCAAAATGTCTTTATGACATGCCTTGTCGCGAAAACATCTTTAAGATTGGGTCCCTCCACCCTGCTACGAATGACAAAGGACCATATACGGACAAACACCCGTTCATAATTGTCTTCGTATGAAACGTGTTGGAAAATGTCATTAGATTGTTTGTTCTGATATGCGACCTTAAAAACAAAAACATACGTACATGCACGTACCGCTACATGGAGGTTGTATGGATAGGTCTTCACAGAGATGAAGAGACCCTTCAACATTCTTCACTGTCACTGACAAATATGATTCAGGGAATGTCACTGAAATACGACTACATTTCACGGTTTAAACCCTAACAAACACCCAAAAACAACCAGTCCCAGAAATATGCATTAGGTGCTGGATGTGATAAGCAGATGGTCACTTTACAACACCAGCAATGCAGTTTGAACCTAACACACCGCGTCACTCCTTGTTAAGATATGAGTTATCTGAGTCCACATGCCGGTAGGCAGAAGATAATCACTTGCAGCTGACTTATTACTTTCTCAAGTCAACTTCCCTGCAGAAATAACCGCCGTAACGATACTTCAGGCGGAAGTCGTTTGAAAGTCATTTCAGCACCGCGGACAGGAAGCCGGCACGACGCGCGGATGTGAAGCAGGCACGGTGATTTATGGATGTACCCCGTTGTTAGGCCAGCTCATTAGCGGTCCCTGGCTGTAGTTTCATAGCTCCTCCGATTTATATGCGTGGTCTGTCAGGTCGCCAATGTTAACCCCGGCATATGTATGATAGTCGTCAAGCTGATGTATGGACGAACCCAGCAGAGCCAAACGGCCATGCTGTTTTATAACAGATGACCCTCTCAACGTTAACATCCGCTGACCATTGGGTCATTAGCAACATCATTAGCGACATCATTAGCAGTCAGCCATCGACTTGGCAAACGCACAGACTGTCATCAAAATTGAATCCGTTAAAAACGTTATGCTTGCAAATTAGCGTACATTTGAACAATTTGGTAAGATGTGACCAACATTAATTCCGGACGGTTTGAAGGTCAAGTCAAGAACGAGATGCAGACGTTGGTATCTGCTATGTTACTTCAGAAAAGGTTTTAGGGGAGAGGTTAACAAACCATGTCACTGAAAACGGTCAGAAAGCAAATATTATGGCATACACATGTATAAGAAGATATGAAGCTGATTTAGATAAACGGTACGACACGGGATACTTGCAACCTACACGTTACCTGTGAAGGTCATTTGTCTGTCTTGTATTGTCTGATCTTATCAAAGAAAACGGGTTGTAATATTTGCTTTTTACAATATTCTTTCCTCAGTTTGCGACGAAAACACAAGCTATAGATGGATTACTTAGCTTCAATAAGACACTTACCCTGTCCAGGGTCCTTACCCAACATGTGTACGGTACGATGGAAGTGCAGACCTAATACAGAAGCCCATCACGATGTTCGTCCCCGTCTGAAGTACCAATGGCGTCCAGACGTCGCTGCTGTCCTCTAGAGCTCGTTGGTTAATTTGATATGTTAATTGTTGCATATTTCATTTTGCACCCCTTTTAATTTTATTATCACAGGGTAGGTTCTGTTTCTCAGCGCTACCACCAACTTAGGAACTCTGACATCGCATTCATTACTCGAGATCATTTCTCAGAAACACGCTTCCTTTCATTTTGATTAAAGAACATTAAGTTTCAATCAATACCCACTGTAAGTGTAATACAAAAGATGGTCACATGGAGGCGTCTTTTGTCCACCAAGCCTAAAGCCACTGAACAACTTCAACGTGGCAACTCTGAATTACCGCGCATGTCTTGTTGTACTGATGAGTTATTTGCCTGGAGATAGTTAGCCAGTGATACCGGGTAATACAACACTATGTACATAACTAACGTTACATGTATTCTGGGTTCGTGGCTAAAACGTGAGGTTCATATATGCAGTGGTGATAATTGGCCGGTAACTTCTAAAAAGTCATAACTACTGGAGTGTTCTCCGATTGCCCTATCTCTAGTCTATAAAGTTGGACTTGGGTAGCGACGGCATGTACTCAGTTCATAACCTCTACCCACTCAGAGAAAACTCCCCCTTATCTACGGTTAATGTCCTTGGTTTGAAGTACAGGTGTAAGCTATCAGGCTGACTAGGCCGGGAGGGGCGTTACCAGGGGGCGGGGCTTGTGATGCCCACCACAGGTCGACTCAGTCCTCTTCAAATATGGGCCGAACCAAGAACCCGTCTGTTTACATAGCAAAGTTGACCCGTCTAATACAATTCAACACAACTTGCGTCATACAACGCGTACCCACGCAAATGCCCAAGGCAGACAAATACACCCATGGTGCGGTAAGCGTCAAAAGCTTCTGATCACTTCAAGAACTATGGAAACTATTCAATAACGAATCACGAAGTCTACAAACTACCACATCTGTCACTGTAAAGATCTAGCATGTGTCAAGTTATAAGCAATCTGACAGTCACGCTAGTAAATCATCTTACAGCAGTGCATTGTACAGGCGTTATTACTCGTATTGAAGAATTGTGACAAATTCTGTGCCATTTTTAATCCAGTCTTCACGGCTGTGAAGAATTCAAAGCAAAGTCGATGAATCGAAACGATAATGGATTTCAATTAATAAGTTCAAAGCAAAGTGAGAAAATTGCATCGTAGCAGTTTCAGCGCTGTTACCCATGGCCCAAAGAGGAAAACTGTAACAAGTAAGACCTTTCCTAGAACGTACACTACATGTAGTAGATGTTCAATAGACAGGGCAACGACCTGTCTTATAAACCAGGACAAGCAATTAAGCTGATAGTACACAGCTGTGAGGATGTTGTATTTTGTCACAGGGCAGTAATGGCCATTGGTGATACAGACATCTAATATTTTAATTCCATTTCTCATCCTTTGAGCTTATATCAGTTGCGAACGAAAATTGATTCAACAGTCTACATTCTCATTTCCCTTTTCATTTTAGCCTCCAGAAATTCAATCTATTTGAACACCTGCAAGCCTTTTACAATCTTCCAAAAGAAGATTAATGGTCGTTTGCCCTGCACGTTTTGCTTACCAAGTGTTGTCCTGTCCTTGGTGCTGAAATACGTTCTCCAAGCACTCAGGACGGCACATAATGATAAATCTACGAAATTTGGGACCAAAACGTTCACAACAGTTTTGGCTGTAAAAATCTGGTTCAACAGAAGGGCTGTGAGGAGCAAGAAGGTTCTCCCTTACTCCAGTATCTTTTGCTATGCACCTATCACCACAAGCACGCACACAAACATCTGTAGTACTCAGACAAGACTTCACACACAATGTAAAAGCAAGAATGCTTTTATTTGTTTTTTTTTTAGAATGACGGCACAGTCAGCATCTACCTCTGTATCATTACATAATATATTTGTCATAATATTGGTGATGATAAATTCATAATTATGATTGTTTCAAAACTGGCAGCATTTATCAGAATCATCCTGCTTCATTTTGGCACTCACATCTCTACCTCACTTCACCTCATACAAAAATACCTCTACTTGGTCGACTTACTATGACTGCAGGCACTATAAGGCCTCTTACATGTCTCTAGCAGGCTTCTTCGATGCATAAACATAGGATAAAAAATGTTGCGTTACCATGAAAAATTCATAAAATTCTAACACTTGTTTGTGGCGGTTTCAGCATAAATGTGCTGGGATCTACACAAGTGTGGAAGGAGTACACTAATGGTAACCACCTAATTGGTGCATATATTTTGATACAAAAACTTTGTGATATGGCACTTATAGCAGTGCATTGACCTCTCAGCCCCTCCCGCCAGAGTGTGTTTCTGCATCACTGTCAGCCATGTCTCACAACAGCCTAATAAAGAGGTTCCTTCACTTAGCACCACTGTAATACAGTTTGGTCTTTGGTTGTATCTGGCTAGGAACTGTTCTTACACTGTTTGGTACAACTGTTTGCTCAACCCTGATTGTGTCTCCCTCCTGACGACAGGTTTAACAATCTTTTATTCCATACATTTCCCTGCCGCTCCAAGTGTACTGGCATACTCCTCCCTCTCTGATTCCAATCTTCCAAGGTCTCTATACACTAAATCGGGAGTATAAAAAATAACTGTGTAACTTGCTGATACCAGATGTACATGGTCTATGTTGTGAAGGGGCTGGTCCCTTAGTACAGTTGGAAATCTCACTGCCAAAGTGCTGTCTGTGTCTGTGTCTGATCCACACAGTTCAGCCCTGCCTTACACTGAGACATGACCTCCAGGGCACCACACTAACTTAAACTTGCACTAAAAAAAGTAGCTTACGTTTCCTTACGTGTAACGGTATACTTCATATGGTGCTTACTTAACTTGTAACGTCACTCAGCTCAGGCACATACAAGGCATAATATACTGTAGATACTTTTCCTGTCCATCACAAAAATGCACATTATTTATAGTTTACAATGGGGAAGTTTTATTGCTTATTCCTCTTCTTCTCCTCCATCCACTTCTGCCTCTGGAGTGTTGTTGGTGTTGGAGCTGTGCGGCGTTCCCGTGGACCCCGTGGAGAGCTGCGAGATGGAAGGTCGTCTGGGTGGAGTACGGTCTCCGTCCTCTAGATCTCGGGGAGGCGTGGACGGCGTAGAACCGTGTGACGAGTAGTACCTCCTCGGGTAGGAGCTGGTCTCGAAGGTCTTGTCTGTGTACGGACCGTTGCTGCGGCTTCCAGTGGTAGGAGTCTGTGAGAGGAGAAGGGGGTCGGGACGAGGGGGTGGGGTGGGGTGGGATGGGATAGGGTTGGAAGCACACATAGGGGAGGGGTGTTTGTCAGCAAGTTAGTTGGCATGTTACGACTTTGTTTTCACTCCATTGCTATGTATGCACAACAGCCACAGTTTTCACTGCTTGACTGGTGAGACAGATCTTTTCACAACAGTTCTCTTGACCTATTGTTCAAATGCACACACACACACATATCAGCAGAATCAATACAGTACAGATAGTAGTCATTCCAACAGTGAGTAGTGGTGCAGGCACAAAACATGTGAGGACAGAAGAGCAAACAGACAGGAGCATGCATTGTGTGGCATGCAGAGCAACACATATACAAGACACAGTACAAAGATCAGATTTAGAGAGAAGCATATAGCAAAGCATTGAGGGGAGGGAGTAGAGGGTGTACAAAATGGGAAAATGAACACATTAGAATTCATTGAAGTCATTGGTGAACTGCAGTGGCCAAACACTTGGGTATTCATGTGGCAGCTGCACTTGATAATCTGATTAACCACAGTGACTATGTACCTACATGTTCCCTCTAGATATATCTGCATGGTGTCTTACAACTTCAGTGTCTACAATACAAGCAGTGTAGCCAGATCAGATGTGCAGCGCAGCCACAGACTGACACCACAAAATAGTCCGTCAAGACTCCTACTGTGAGCTCTGTTCTGAAGTCTCAATGACTCCACAGAATTCTAAGGGGGAGAAAGACATGTATGGTGCAACAAAGGCTTTACCTGTAGAGAGAAGAAAAGCACATGGCACAAACAAATGACAGTATGTCTGGCAAGAAAAGTGATTCATCTGGCACACAACACAAGATGAAAGTTCAGAGCACATGTATGTCAATGTCATGTTTACCTTGGTTGTAGGTTCAAGTCTTTGTAATTCTGTGATTGTCAAACATAGCAGGTTTACTGTCTAAAGGTGCAGCCTAGTTGACCTGCATGTTGCAAAGCATCATTAAATGTAAGCTTGTATGGGTTGTCCAATAGATATTGTAGAAACCTCATTCCCTAAATCATCTATATGCACTATAAAATGGCTTGAAATTATTTTTCTTTGTGATGTTTTTTTTGTAACAACTCTATTAGGTGCTAGAAAAGCCATCCATCCATCTACAATCTATTAACCTCCCCTCTGAGGCAGCTTGAAAAGATGTCCCATTGCAAGCTCAGCAACAGTGAATATTGCATCGTTGCAAAGCACTTTGGTCTGTCAGTGATTGTAAGAGTCCTACAAGTAGAAAGCAGGATGGTATGGAAGCAAAAGAAAGACAAAGAAAAGGACTAAACTATTTGCAGAGAGTTGAAAGCATCTTTATTATTGTTATTTCTATTGACAGAGTAAAAGTACAATAAGCAGTGGTTTGTTATTGCAAGGTTCTAGTAGATCCAGAACCTGATATTTGCTGCATGTTACGTTTGGTTAATGGTCTTAAGTCCATTGCAGTGTCATCAAAGATTTGACATTGATAGATGTCCATGCAATGAACAGTCCATAGAGAATATGAGCCCTAACAGTCACCCGCCTTACGATAGCATCAGTTTGCAGTAGCTACCTTGCATTTTCAGCCATTGTTTTGCTACATGTTGTGCTGTATACATCACTACATAATACTGGTTAACTACAAGTTGACTAGATATAGCTATATAAGGTTAATATGGATCTACCAGAAGTTAAACACTACATAGCACCAACTTGAACCAAAAACCAGGCCTCAATACAGTATCTACTGTGACTTAGGGAGGTTTAAGTCTCATGGAGCAAGTTTCCTTGTCAGTTTTTGTGGTGTAAGACAGGGAAGAAAGGAAGAGATAGTACATTACACATAACATCTATATACATAACAGATGGACAGGATAATAGAGTAGATACAAACTCAAATTTTAGTTTTCTTGAGCTGGTTCTGCTATGGAGTATTGTGATCACAGTAAGATGAAATCAAAGAAGTTAAGATTATTTTTCTGTCAACTGGCTTGGAAATTGTAACAATCTGGTTACATGGTCCCACAACTGCTACGTTTCAAGTTGACAAAGTTGTAGAAATAAAGGTTAAGTACACCTTGAAAAGAGCAGACGTCACTTGTGAATAGCTTTTGCAATAAGAATGACACAGAACACAGAGATCTCCATAGCAGACACTACTCTTGTACAATTGAACTATACAACAGAACAGAAGGACAGAGAAGTACCGGGACAGAGTAGGAGAGACAGCTGGAGGAATAGCACCTAGTAAGTGTAGTGAGTCTCATCCTCTTCCTCACTGTCAGAGGGGAGGTTGAAATCATGATAGCGGACTTTATGTACCGTGATGCGAGTGGCAGGAGAAACCGTGCCACGGTTGCGTGCCCGCAGCTTGTTGAGGGAGCCCTCCGCAATCTCCGCCCGCTCCTCTGCGTCCTCCAGCTCGTGCTGGGTCTTGCGGAACTTGGAAAGGTTGATGGTGGCCTGCTCCTCCTGTGGTGGGTGGGACAATCACACAGTAAGGTAAAGTTTCTCTGTAATACTGTAATGTCTTTGAGCCAGAGGGAAACAATCAACATTTATGCATATCAGTGTCACAGGTGCCTCATTTTGACAACAAAGAAAAGGGGCAGACTTACGATTTCCTCCACTTGTCTCTTGTAAGACTTGATCTTCAGTTGTAGTTTCTCGATAAGTTCTTGCATGCGCTCCTGGGTCTTGCGGTCCTCCTCGGCCTGGAAGCTGAGCTCCTTGAGGCGGCGCTCGTTCTTCCTCATGTTCTTCTGTGTCTCAGAGTGACGCCTCTGCTCGTTCTCAAGCTCCTGTTCCAGCTCACGCACCTAGTTAGGGACAAAACATCCTCATGTCAATGGCGCTTTTAGAAACTAGATTTCACCAGCTGGAACAGTCTATCTTTACATTTTCTCATGCTGCTATTTTCTGTTCATCATCCAACATCTTTTATATAACCTCCAGGTCCTGTGGTTATGCAAAAGATAACTTCCAACAGTGTGAGTTTTGTGTTATGATGGTGGGATGGTCTTACCCTGGACTCAAGCTTCTGGATGAGCCTCTTGCCTCCCTTGAGTGCGATGGCCTCGGCCTCGTCCAGGCGCAGCTGCAGGTCCTTCAGGGTGACCTCCAGGTTCTTCTTAGTCTTGTCCAGCTGCAGGCAGGTCTCCTGTTCTGCACGCAGCTCATCTGCCAGGTGGGCAGCCTGGGAGGGGAGGAACAACCAGTCATCAACTTCATCCTGTATGTGGCTGACCAAAAATGTTAACAAAGAGGTTTCAAACAGGGTGTCCTTGGACAGGCCCTTCCCCCAAAAGATGGCCTGCTCCAGTTATAGATAAGATTTGGTTTCTTGTATTTTACCTCAGCAGCAGCCTTCTTGGCCCTCTCGTCTGCTGCCTTGAGCTCAGCGACTGTCTCGTCCAGCTCCACCTGCAGGGCCTGCAGCTCCGCGTCAACCTTCCTCTTGTGGGCAGACAGCGAAGCATTCTGGGCCGCCAGCTCATTGTTACGGTCCTGAAAAGGACAATTGTGCCATTAGATTACACTCCTGTCATGCACAGGTTATACATCGGGTAATAAAACAGAATTCTTTCATATATCAGCAACAATCAAGACGAACAGTAAAAAGTGTGGTCACCTGTAGGTCCTGGGCATCGGCCTCAGCTGCCTTGCGGACCTTTTCGGAGTGCTCGTACAGAACGCGGAGATCCTCCAGCTCTGTGATGGTCAGCTGCAGGCGCTTCTCCAGGAGAGCGTACTGCTCACGCAGCTCCTCACGGCTGCGGATCTCATCATCCAGCTGAACCTGCAGCACGACAGTCAAACATGTCAGTCTACAACCAGCCTGTGTGTCTAAGAGAAAAATGCCTTGTAAATGTGAACTGTAGCAGTCTTATTGGTGATGACTAGCTGGTTTACCTGTAGTTCCTTGATGGTGACCTGCAGTTTGGTGATTGTCTTCTTGGCCTCTGCGTTGGCCTTGGTGGCGTTGTCCAGGGCAACCTCCAGCTCGTTCAGGTCTGCCTCCAGCTTCTTCTTGGCACGGATGGCTTCGTTCTTGGCCTTGGTCTCCACCTCCAGACTGGCCTGGAGAGACTCGAGCTGGCGCAACAGGTTCTTACTGTGGGAGGGGGGCAGAGGAAAGTGCCGTGACACTCACTTCTTGTACATGTTTACACAAAAAGTGTTGACTGTGATAAAACCAGAATGACATTACAATACCAGCAGTCCAAATAATGCCATTGCCATTTCAGGCCTCTTGCTACAGGAGAACTCTGAAGGTCAAAGACCTGGAAAGTTTCCCTAAGCTTGATCTTTGTGACATGAGTTGTAAATTTAGACAAAACAAATGTTCCACAGATGGAAAAGGCCTACTTGTTTTACATATTTGGACCAATCCTGATGGCATGAAGAGAAGAAGAGTAGCAGAAGTTGTCTTTGACTTGTGCCAAGAATGCCCACTTGTACTGAAGCCAAAGTCAGCACTCCACAAGAATGTAAACCTTTCAGTATGTGGACAAGACAACATGTTGCTTTTAGGTAACCCTTCTGTGACCCTCCTGGCCCCTATCCACAGTAGTTGCATTCTTGTTTATGCTCTGTGAACTGCTGTCTCCTACCTTAACAAACTTCTAACCTCTCAGATAGATTCATTCATGTTGTTTTGACATACGGCCCACAAAGAATGTCGGTGTCACCAGACCTCATTATTTACAAGTCTGAACGGTTCAAGCTCCAAAGCTTTTACCTTCTGTGCAATGGACTAATGATGTACTCCACCTGTTTTACAAAATTAATGCACATTCTTTTGATGACCTAAATGAACATGTGTATAACCCTAGAACTTTGTTAATTGGATTCTACTGACCCATTATCTTAACATTTTCCTGTCCTGTAATTGTTCAGAGGTTACTTTTGCATGAATTCAGTAAAAGTCATTAAAATAAGGATGATCTCATATTTAGTACATTTGGCATATCCTGCTGATTGAACTGCAACTTTCTGGACTAGCCATCATACATCTGAATGAGTAAACTGTATGACATCTCCTCTACTGTCCCTTCCATGCAGGATGGCCCAGTTTTCCTGCAGGCCATCAGGAGGATGTCCAGCCACACTGACAGGGCTCACTCTGCTGCTGACCACTTGTAGGCTAATCCAGGAGGGTCTGGGGGATACGACCCCTGACCTCTCAATGGCTGCCACCTGTCACAATGTGCTGATGAACTGTTGGTAACTACTGATGACCCAAACTGGGGGGCACGTATCCTACTGGACAGAACTGCTGCACTGGTTTGCCATGTTCAATTAGTGGGATGTATCATTGTGGATTGGAAGTCCCCTGACTACATTCCATGTTAAAAAAAATCCAAATAAATGTCCCCATGTACATGTAATTATTGATAACAGAACCATTATTACACATGATAACTATTGGTAAACTAGGTAGCAAATCTAGCATCAACTCAGTTGCTGGTTCAGCATGAAGAATTTCCACTTCTCAGGCACTCTGATTGATTTCAGAATTGCTCTTTCCTAACCAGCAGCTTACTGATGCCTCGGGAGTGCTGATTCCAAAAACGACATGTTTTTGTGAAGGGTTTATCTGTGCCCTGCAAGTGGTTCCTAACAAATCAGACAGGTTTCTCAGTAAACAGGAAGTTTTAGACACAGAAGATGAGGGGATGTCTTTCATCAGTGCAGTAGCCTTGGGTGGACAGTTTGCCAGATGTAGAAATGTGAATGATGTTTCTCCAATGGAATCTTGACAAGCATATGTTGCCAATCTGTTTCTAATTGGACCTTATTTGGCTTGGAATACTAGCCCTACCTCAGAAGTACTGGCTTCCAAATTCTTATCGTTCCATTGTTCCCCTTATGATATACTACCGTAATGTTTACCATATAAAGCAATGTCCCACACAGCCTCCCAGCTTACCGTGTGGTTTCAAACTCCTCCTCCTTCTCGGCAATTCTCCTTTCACAGTCAGACTTCACTTGGACAATCTCAGCCTGCAAGCGAGACACCTTGGCTGCCTCCCCTTCCAGAGAAGCCTCCAGCTCCTCAATAGTTGCCTAAAGACAAACAGCATCTCTGTCACTACCTTTTAACATACACCAATCTGCACTACCAACTATGATATTCCAAATCTTCCTTCTCTGGTATAAGATAAGGCTTTGTGTAAGGAAGGGATTCTCATAGCACTTATGTAATATACTCACTGTACAGTCACATATTATTTGAGTCATATTTTTTGCCTTTGAAAATCTCCTTACTGATGACACCTCTTCTACAACTTCCTCTGCCACACATTCCTTACTCGTGAGTCAAGCAATTGCTGTTCAGCTGAAAATTGACCAAATTTGGTCATGTACATCACCGTGCCAACTTACCAACAGTTCCTCCTTCTCCAGATCCAGCCTCTTCTTGGCCTTCTCCAGCTCATGGACATACTTCTGGCTGTCTGACAGCTGGTCGGACAGATCACGGACCTCATCTGTAGGGCACAGGAGTCAGGCTTATCAGGACAGCCCAGCCTCAATGTCAATCATCAGCCTATATCTAAATCTCAACGTCCATCATCAGCTACAACACATATACAAGGGATAGACACAGTGTTCCCTGACTTCCCCTTCAACTGTCATTCAACATGGACCCCCAGTAGAGAATGGATGCATGGACACACAGACTGGACAGTGGTTTGGCAAGTAAAAGAACAGTGTCTGGACCGAATTCTCCCACTATGTGAAAGATGGAAGACTTGTGGCACCATGTTAACAGATGTACAACACAGTAGTTGTGTCAAACAGTACTTGCTCACTAATTGTCCACCTTGTTCAATCCATCCCTAATATCCTTCCCCTTCATTTTTCAGGAACTTTGTCACACTCAGATTAACATGTCCCTTTCTTTTTCAGTATCAATTTTGTTGATGGACTATGACTATGAAACACTTCAGTTTCAAACTGAGCCAAACTGTGGAAGAAAGTCTGTACCCTTCAGAGCACCATTCTCCCTCCTGAGCTGGTCAATGGTATCCATGGCCTCGTCATACTGGCCCTTGAGCTTGAACAGTTCGACCTGGTAAGCCTTGCACTCCTTCTGGCTGGCATCCAGCTCCAATGTGATCTCCTCACACTTCACCTTCCATTCTGCAATCTGTATAAGTATATAAGGATAAGCTTAGAGAATTGTCCACAGGTAACAGAGTAGTGTAAGCTGCTTAAATCTCAAACCGGTGATGGTAACATGTTTCTGAGTTGCCCACCTGTTTGTCGAGCAGGCGCTGCTTCTTCTCCAGAGCAGCTGCAGCTGCATTGGCCTTCTCCAGGTCAATCATCAGGTCCTCCACCTCACCTGCCAGGCGGTTCTTAGTCTTCTCCAGGCTGGACACCTTGGCTTGGGCTGCCTCAACCTACAGGGAGGAACAGCAGTGGATCTGGGTTAACAAGGAGGACGTTGTTGCAATTGTAAATACCACTTTTTGAAGATATATCATATCCTGTTATACTGTTTCTGCTATCTTATCAATCCATACAAAATGTAGCTCTTCTTAAGTCCCTACAGTCCCCCTACCTGCTCTTCTGCGATCTGCAGCTTGGCGGCTAGCTTCTTCTTCTGTTCCTCCAGCTCCTCCAGCCGTTGGATCACCTCTGTCTCATACTTGGTCCTCCAAGATGCACACTCTGCGTTAGCCTTGGATAGCTGCCTCTGAAGCTCGGTCCTACCCTCCTGTTGAGATGGCAGGGGGGGAGAGAATTGAGTCGAACAGTTTTGACACATATTACAATCCTACTTTATCTGAGTATAATCATCATGGCTGCATGACTACCTATATGTCATAAGATTCCAGGCAAAAATTAAACCCTTTAAACTACCTTCCTGCATCTCTTTTGACATTGATGATATTTTTGTATATCCCCACAAAGCTTTTTGTCCATCCTTTAGTTAGACTGACCTGTTCTTCATCCAGCTGCTCACGCAGGACATCCAGGTCATGCTGCAGCTGCACCACCTGGTGAGACAGCTGGGTGCGCTGCCTGGTCTCCTCCTCCAGACCCTTCTTGGCCTCCTCGTAGCTCTGCTGCACGAGGGCCTTGGTGCGGCTCAGCTCGCGGACTTGGGCCTCAGCATCGTCCAGCTGCCTGCCCAGCTCGGCGTTCTCAGCTGTCAGCTTGGAGCGCAGCACCTGCAGATCGCTCAGCTGCCTGGTCAGCTCCTCATTGCGGCCGTTGGCGTCCGAGTACTTAGTCTCAAGCTCGCGCACGTTGGTCTCCAGGTGAAGCTGCAGGGAATGGCAAAATTGTTCATATGTAAGAATATAGTCAACCAGACAAACCGAACCTTCTATCTGCACTGGGTAAGGAAAAACCTGAAACAGGTGTTCATCTTCTGCCCAAATCTTCTTCATCTTTTGGAACTATAAACAGGATTTTGATGAACTTACATGTGAGCTCATGCCCTCTAGTCTAGCATGATATGTTAAAGCATAGTTGCACAACTTGTATGGCTGGTAAAAACAATTTTACTTTCTGGTGACATTTATGATCAAACAAGCAATAATCTGAATTCTGATTTCTTCCATTTTGTTATATTCATGACATCGGTTTGCAAATATTTCCTTAAAGGCAAATTTTGTTATACATGTGTTCTACTGTTTAGAAAAAAGAATCTGGCTTGTCTGCAGGTGATTTCCAAAGTTTATTTGGACAACAGTATCAGTTGACATGGAAGAATCTGGAGCTCAAAACACTTCCAATTCATGGGAGGCTGACTTTGCAAAATGGTCACCGTGAACAGAAATATCACTTTCTATACCATCCTAGCGACTGGCTTTGTGGCATATGATCATCAGTGCAAATACCACATTGCAGCATTGCATTCTTCTAAAAAATGCATTACAGTCTACAAATGTCAACTTTAGTGAGAGTTAAGAAGAATCTGGCTGGGAGTCAGAAAGAATGAGGGCATAAGTTTATAAATTCTACATTATACAGTAATTTTGATGCCCGATGGATGGGCAGATTTAAACGTACATCCTTACGTCATGTCACTTTTATGTTACGATATGGGAACATTGCCAGGCAAGGGTAACAAAACAAAGTCTGAATTCCTTTTGGCTGAAATCCTATAGAACTTTGTCAGACAGGTGGAACAGGTCCTGAAACACCAGGAGGCCGGCCGGGGTTTAACTGTGCTTACGTCCGACGGGGGTCGCCCTACATTCCACGGTCCGAAGTCACACACGCCCCTGCCCAGCCACGCCGTAACAGTCATGGTCACTGACTCTCAAAGCCGGGGGTCCAGTACTGGACAGGTGATCTTCTTATGCCATGAAATGTTGACAGTTGGTACTGATTTTTACATACAAGGAAATGTATTGGAGGAGTTAGTGATCAAAGAAAAAGTGTTTCTTCTTTACAAACAGTTTTGACCTACAAGAATGCTTTGATTTCCATGTACTGAACAATGAAATCCTGAGACAGGTGGTCTTAAAATCCCCTGAGGACCCTTTTCAAAGGATTATAACCACAACTTCTAATCATGCACTTTGTTAGCTGTGTGTGTAATCCCCAGTCATGGGACAGACAAGGACCACACCAGTGTGTGGCTCAGGAAGAAGAAGGGGAAATCCTCCACTAGGCTAGGAATCCTGTTCCAGACATGCACCATTAGGCAGATTCCATTCAGTGCATCCCGACTGTTTGTACGTGTTCAGAGGCATCAGTGAAAACCTGGCTGATGCTCCCAGCTGTCCCCAACTGACACCACCAATTTACCTAAATCAATGTGATAAGGAGGTGCTCTTTTTTCTCCAGAAGACAAATTAGGCTCTTTGCACTAACAGCCAGAAATTCAGCACCAGGATTTCTGATGGATGTTGATAAATTCAATATTTTACATGTATTTAATTCAGAAGTGGAAATACTCCTAAGGGTTTTAATGACTGACTTTGATCAGTTGTTGGCAGGTTGTGTCCAGTTTCTATTTTGTAAATCATAATCGTGACACTATTTAGGCCAGGATGGAGTAAGATCCTAAATATAGACTTGCACCTCAGGCTGTCCATATATGTACATGCAGACGTCAGCACATGCATTCCCTTCTCTTCAGGGTTTGTGTAGGAGGACTTTCACTGCATACAACATTAAAAATTTTAAAAGAGCCAAAACCTTTAACTTCTTTTCATTGTACACAAGAGTTTCAAACATATTGGATGATGGTGTAAAAAGATAAAAGATAATTTTGACAACAAAGCCATTAACACTTTACAGAAGTCCAGTTTTACAAACTCTGGAATGCCTAAACCCCTTTAAGACTCTTTCTTAAGGTATGATAAGTAGTTCTCTGCTAATGTAAGCTAATCCAAGTAAATACAACTCGATCTGCCCATGCAAAATGACTCTGGGGCATGTATGAAGGGGGAGGGTGTGTGTGTGTGTGCAATCCCAGCAGTAGGCATGCAATAAATCAATAGGAACTTGGCAAATTCTTGTGTTATAAATGGTGCCGCAAATATCTTGCTTCAAATTCGGGTGTGGACTTGCTCTGAGACAATGTTTGTTTTTGGTCTAGTTTGTGTTTGTCGCTGATACCAACAACTACACAAGCAGGGGGCACACCTCATCATTTACTCCATGCATGAGTGTCATCGGACAATTGGTCTCTATGCTGACCATGGCTGTGTTTCTGTAGTTTTCATCATCTCTACTACTTTGAAAGCATGCAGGATATTGAAGTGTTAGTGATCCTTGCCCAGAGGAAGATTGAAAAAGACGTAAGTGCATCAGAACCTTGTTGAAAGCTTATACAACATCCGCTAAGTCTTGCCTCCGGACCTGGCTCCATTAGAACATTCTTTCCAGTCTGCAGTGGCCTTCAACCTTAAACACACACGCCTGCCTCACGCCAAGGAGACCTCACGGACATCAAACACTGACTACTGTGCAGTACAATAAGACTGGAGAACTAACCCTGGCCACTGTTTGCCCAAGATTATCATCAGTGCTTCTCAGACTGACAAATCTCCTCAGGGCTGCTGATATCTGATTAGAAGAGATGATCTGCTTATTCTTACAAGCTCATTTGAAGATGAAGTTGACCTGAGAAAATTACTCTTGCATGTAAAGTTGACTTCCACCTGTATTTGGTACCTAATAAACATCTTGAGATTTTCCTGTTGAGATGTTTGTTCCTGGTTTCAAATGACTGACCAACACCCCTTTCACTACAACAATGGAGCGTTGTTCTACACTGCTTTTTCTGATGTACACATGTAGAATTCAAACCTGTGGAGCCTGAATGAGCACGAGAGCTTTACGCAAAATTTCTATTTTTAGAGAACAGTACAGCACTACAGCTGTGAGCAGCTTGCTCTAGAAGACAACAACAAGCCTCTTTGTTTGTAATGGTAAGGATTAGAAGTTTGTTCATCTGTCTGTCATACTGCTTGTATTAACCTCAACCAGCTAAAAAATCAGAGCGCTGGATTATAGACATGGAGTCAGGAGGTTACATACTTGCACAGGCCTTACAGCTGCAAACATTTATCTATCAGGGCAATCTCTGGGCTCATCCTTTCCTACTTGATGGAATGGTCGGGGGAAATCTTTTGTAAGCTAACAAGATAGGGAGCCTGTATCAATAGGTTTTATCAAAACTTACATTTGAATTGTTTACATTCTAATCTTATCAAGAGTTAGTGTAATCAATCTCGATGCAATCTTGATATCTGCTTACACATTTTGAGGGGACATCCTTAACATACTGTCACCATATTGCCAGTTTCTACCTACTGTAAATCACTTTTTTTTTTGCGGTGCTTTTATATCCGCCGACTTTCTTTTTGCTGCACCTGCCACCATGTCCATTTTTCTCAGACCGACAAACTTTTGCTACTGCGGACGTTTTATAAAGTGATTTAGTGAGTATCTTTCTGAGGTACCCAGCTGAGTCCACCCTGACCACACCCTCACCTTGATCCTGGTGACAGCCTCCAGCTGGGTGGCGACATCGTCCAGCTCCACGCGCAGCTGGTTCTTCTCCTTGTCCAGCTTGGTGCGCGACCGCTGCAGGCTCTCCACCTGCTCCGTCAGCTCCGTCAGCTGGTCGCTGTGCCGCTTCCTCAGCGTGGTCACGCTGGCCTCATGCTGCATGGTGGACTCCTCAAGCTCCCTGGACAACAACAGGGAAAATCAACTGTTAGATGCTTGTCCTATACCTTGAGAGGCAACATAGTTATGGAAGCTACTGTAATAGTTTGTACTTGCTATATATTAAAGATATACAAGCAGGTCTCAGTATTATCTTTTAAGCATAGGCATAATGGACAGGTGGCATCATCGGGGAATATGCACATCGGTTTGAGGTTTAGTCAGATTAGTGACATTGGGCTGATATTAGTTTTAAAATATCTTGGTCTGACACGTGTGGGCGTGGCCAGTACAGTAAGAATTTAATTATTTGTGTGGTAGATTCTAATTAATCTTTTTTAGATTCTTTTATAAAAGCTAATGAACAGTCCTTTCTGCCACACTTTCTGATCTTGGCGAGTTCCATCTCTTGATGTTAGTTTTGTAATGTAATTTGCGAGTTCCATCTCTTGATGTTAGTTTTGTAATGACTATGCCATATGTGGGTGTGGCCAGTACAGTGAGTGACATACATGTAGATTCAAACTATTATAATCTTTTAAAGAATCTTTTATAGAAGCTGATGAACAGTCCTGGGTGCCCCACCTTCTGATCTTGGCGAGTTCCATCTCCCTCTTCTTGTTGAGTTCGATCTGTGCAGCAGAGGCTCCGCCGGCCTCGTCCAGCCGCTCACTGAGCTCATCCAGCTCCCGCAACAGGTCATTACGGTGCTTCTCAACCTACAGGGAAACATAAAACAACTGTTACAGCCTAATGGTGCTTCTCAACTACAGGGAAACAGAACAACTGTTACAGCCTAACGGTGCTTCTCAACCTACAGGGAAACAGCACAAGTGTTATACTCTACAGCTCCTGTAGTATTGGACAATTGTACTGTTTATAGTCAGAGTTCTTGGCAGCCATATTTCCAGACCCCCTCTCTGACCCTTCATTTGTTGCATCCCTTCAGACAAGGAGCTTCAGTTGACCACGCCCCCTCCCTTTTTCATGCATATGGTAACTCCCACCAGCTCCAATTGGGATCTTCCTCCCTCCCTTCCTTTCAAAGAAAATGTATTCTTATCTATTCAGTCATATAAATGATAATGGCTTGTTATTTGCTCATCTTCCCTGTCAGGGGTAGTCTATCAAGTAATTTGCACCGCCTTGATAATTCACCTATAATGGCCAAATTACCACCCAGCAAATGGACCTGTTGTTTGTTTTGATTCAACAAGTAACTGATCCTACCCTACCCATTACTCTCCACACACATGATCACCCATCTGTAACCACTGGACATGTACTGGTAGATCCTCCTGAAGCACCACTCTTTACTACACACTAAAAATATGCTGCTGTTGTTATTAACAAGATCTAAATGATGCTGGGTATCCTAAACAAGCCTTTTGGGATCAGGGCATTTGCCCCTTATAGAATCTAAAATTGAAGAAAATCATTAATTGTATACTTTGAAAACATTTCAGTTTAGGAGAAGAAATGGTTATAGAAAAGATGGAAAATGCTTAGAAAGTTACAATATAATAGCTGACAATGGATGTGGGTTTGTACAGGTTTGAGTGAACAAAAGATGACATGCCGGGGCAGTGGTAGGCCAGGGAGGCTACGACCTGTGAAATGCAGCCATTTACAGGGAGTGTACCACAACATCTTAAGCTTATTGTGCCCTCTTCCCAGTTACTGGTTCAACAATACTGCCATGGGTCAAGTTTCCAAATGGCCAACTTTGTACATGCCTCCCTTGTGAAATGTGAAGAATGAAATGGCCTTTTAAATCCATTATATTCGTGTCTTTAAACATCTCTTCCCCCCAGACGTTTGATGAATGTTAGAAGAAACCTTTTCTTGACTGCAAGCTTTCCTTTTTCTTTTCAAGCACAGCTTAATTTGTGAAGCATTTGTTTGTGTTGCCTTCTTAACACTCTTTCCAACAATTTTGCTGATACCTGTAAAGCTTGGTAATTCTTGTTGATAGTCTGTTCAGTACACACACCAGTGCTGTACCGTTTGCACAGTGGTTACTACCCGTGTTCATTTCATGGCTGGTGGGAAGTTTTGTCTCTGAGTTGTAGTAGTTAGTGCCCCAACGCCGTGTCATTTATACCCGCCCTTTTCATTTAGTAGTGGCAATTTTAGGATCGGTTTTCACCTCCTTTGTTAGCCTTCCTTTCCTGTGGACTCAAGACAAATTTGTGCAGAGAGCTAAGCCTACAGGAGTGTACAGTCATTCAATACAGGCCTGACAGCACTGTTTGTTGTCCTATTTACTCTCCTCAATATCCTAATTGACAACAAATAGGTCTTGGTTTCCCCATGGGAAAACTCACACAGACACTACACTTCTTCATGTTGGCATTGGGACTTTTAACAAGAATACTACTGATAGTGATATCCTGTTATTCTGTGGTTTTGACATTGGCATATGATGGCAAAAGAATAGACTGCAGGTGATGGACATGGCTTGATAATCTACAAATCACCAAACATGACCAACTATTGGTCAACAAAATGTCTTAAGGTTAAATGCCATCTTTTGTTGTATAGCAAATAGAGTATTTGTACAATTTGATTTCTTAGCCATCAGCTGGTTTGAACAAAGTACAAGTCCACATTACATTGAGGCAAAATTAAGATTAAAGTTGACTGGGACATTCTCAAGCTAAAAATATCTGGTAAGAATCTGATAAGTACTTTCAAAGGGTGGGCAGTATATTTGGATAGTACTCGATTTAGCCAACATTCAGCTATCAGATAGTGATGTGATGGGATTTCATTTTTGGAAACAAAAACAGGATGTTCAGATTATTTTGATAAACGAAGATTTCCATTGCAAGTTGCTGAGTAGAATTAAAAGAATGATTTGGTGTAATTCTGACTTAGTTTGCGACACTGTCAACAAATTTCTATGATGAAGAAATTCCCAGACAGATTATGACTAACCTCTGAAGACTATCGTTTATCGTTGATCGATACTTGAGAACTTTGTCACAAGATGTTTGAATCTAGTATATGTTTGCATATCAAGATGTCTACGTCTTTGCCTGCTGTATATAGCTGAGAAATGAAGACAATGTGAACAATGTTGGGAGTCGGTCCCTAGACATGACATATCTTCACATGTAGCTGTCATCTTACCAAGGGAGGAGAATTCCTTGATAAAACCATCAAGCCCTAGTGACACAGTACTGCTGGGGCTATTACATTTTACCAGGTCAGGGGATCATGAGTATTTAACTTTTTTGGATGGCAAATCAATTCAAGAAGGAACTGTTATGGCTACCCTCATCTGACAGGTTTTAAATGGACAAGCCCCTACTCCTGACTTATGCCACCCCTTGGAATTTGCTCCTACAGAAGACTGGTATAACATGGCTGACCTCCCTGTGCAAACACTCTTTCAGCCGAAACACTTCCCCTAATATGGAAGCCACTCCCAGGAAAGCTGGCTCCTTCTAAACACTTGTCTTGATGGGCAAAATCCCCAATTCTACTGCATCCCCCTGAGATTGAGTTGTGATATTTCTGATAACATAGTTAGGCAGGGCTGTGGACCTACCTTCATGCGAGTCTGCCGCTCTGTGTCGAGTTCCTCCTCCAGCTCCTCGATACGAGCCTGTAAAACAAATCCAACAGGTTTAAGACATCACACATGCCCTGCAGAGAAAACTAGCCATATGTTAAAGTCACAGCACGTCTCAGCACAGCCCTGGTATCTGTGCTGTCATCCTCCATTATACACTGCAACCATGCTGCTTACAGTCATCAGTGATAATTTCCAGCTACAAACTAGGCTTGATTAGCAAAACAGGTGCATCTCTGATGACTTACATGCATTTTTAAGTTTCTGGGCTGAGATATGCCATGTCTGTCTGTCTGCCCTGCCGCACAGAAGCGGGTGCTACTCAGCTATTTTAGATGACCTAGTGTGTTTAACAACAGCAAGAAGAACTCGATCTCATGCACCTTCCATGGTTGAGCTCGCCCGCGGATCGGAAACCCTATTGTCCATTGTAGACTAACCCATTGACTGTTAGTTCAAAGGGTTTCAATGGGCGCGCAATTACAAACACATGATACAGGTCTGGGGGATAGAGTGTATCCAGGTCTGACCATGCGCACAGGGGAGAAGGGATATAGTGACTCCTGTGGGGACAAGCACTTTAAACAGGTTTCCACCGTCCAAGCCAAGGCTTTCCTTCCAGTCAATTTGTGTGCCTCCAAGCAACTAAATCACAGAATATTTGTCCCGCTTGGCAAGTGCCAACAGCTTTCTTACAGGGCTCAATTTCAATGCCACTGGTCTACTTTAATTAAGCAGCAAGCCAAGACATACAAACAGCCGGAAGCAAAAAAGTAAGGAGAACCAAGTACTTCATATAGGAAGCGCATCCCGACGGCATGGGGGCCCAACTCATAGCTGCGACGGATGATTTTCTTGCTCTTGGCACTCAAGTTCTTGTACGGGGTGTAGAGGATGCTGTCGGCCTCCGTTGGTGTTTCCGTTAACCTTTTCCGGATCACCGTTTTCCTGATCGTTACTGGAGTGGCCGTATCAAGGTTGAGGGTATCGAGAAGGCTGAACCGGGACATCTTGCCAACCAAAAATCCCAGAGGGAGGGAGAAAATCCAGGCAGAGGGTACTACAATCCACGGAGCTAGTCCGAACAGCAGATTGACAAGTGCTGGATGTAACAGGAACTCGGCACCAAAGGTTTTAAGGCAGCTGGGCAGCCCAAGTCAGCAGCAAGGTTGCAGACCTGTTGACTATTCAAATGACTTCACAGTTTGCCACGAAGTCTTTAAATGGCCATTCCAGTCCCGGCTCCGTTCCCATTGCAGGGCTGTGTGTGAGCTTGTGCTATATCAGGCTGGAGGAATGCTAGCCGTGTCCATTATACCTGCCGTTGCTCATGTTCAAGGTTCCCAGTGCCTGCACCACATTGCTCTACATCTTACTTCCTGCGGGAGTGGGGGGAGGACTAAATAAGGAAGGACCCCACGTTCCGACGCCACCTGGGATTCATCAGGCCACATACATCTTTGGCTACAGGTTGTCTCTCAGGGCCAGTTACCATGGCGATATGTGACAACCAATCCCATCCCTACCCTTAATTGGCCTTGGAATTTGGTCGGAAGTACGTAGACGGGTCCGAGAATTACTAGAGGGGGTGCAGCGCAGCTTTTATTCTTAAAGTTCAGAGATGACAAGGAGAAAGTAACTGGAAAGTTTGGGCAGACAGGGGCAAGCATTATTTAGATATGTGAGCCTACGTCTTTCCTAGCCTCTGACTCTGGAGGCATGTCTCAGGTATGCCAACTATCCAGTACAAGTAAATTGACTTAGGACAGCATTGCCATCTTGGCTATGTGGATATCCTATAAAAATAAATGGACACAGCCTCTTGAACAGATTCCAGGGACTCCTTAAAAGGAGAAGGTGAGCCTAATATAGACCCTTGACTCGGGACTCTGTTGACTCAAGACACGGCAATCCTCCCTGCCCACCTTATAACAGTGAGAAACTCGGTCAGAATCTTACCAGGAAACTCTGGCGTACATGGCCAGCTTCCGCGAAAACATTTGCATATCTTGGAATATGCAAATTAGACCCCTTAAGGGAAGGACTAACTTAAAATACTCTTGCAGGGTTCAATGCTTTCAAGTTCTCTCTGGAGATCCTTATTACAAGGCATCACATGACCAGAAAACCTGGGGACCAGTGTAAGAGAGAGGCTGGTACTGATATGGAGGTCTTAGACATTAGAGGGCTGATCTGAAAAATGGGGCAAGATGGCAGTCTGTGTCAATATCGTCATCCTTACTTTCACTTGATGGAAAAGCCTTCCACCTCGTTGGGTAGATATGTTACAAGATCTACATGTACTTAAGAAGATCCAGTTTGAAATCTTGTTATTACAGGTATTATCTAACACTCATTTGAGAGGGAGGGGGTGAGAAATGTAGTAAGTTAGATAACTTACATGCTTTACATATGTCTTAGCGATGTTCACCCACTGAAAGGGACAAATCATGAGAAAAACATGTTATGCTATGACATAGCACTACATTTTCTACACATCATCTGTCCCTTTCCCTGAGTGAACATTGCTGAGACATCTGTAAGGCATGTAAATTATCTAAGACGTACATTTCTCCCCTTCCCTCTCAAAATGGCTATAAGGACTGAGTGTGAATCATGTCTATATATACACATACAAAATTATATCTGTAACAATGTGATAAGAATTATCAGATTGGGTCAGTTTATTTGTGGATGTTCCGGAAATTACACTGCTACAAAAAGCATTGTAGACTGAAACTACTTGGCATAAGTTGGCAAACACACCGCATACAGGAAGTGACGAAGCTGTGATAAAAAATATCTGGCTAAAAATACAGGGAAGGCATGGCAAGTCTGAGGTGTGACTGACAGGACTGATCATCTGCTGTCATGGTCATGTCTGAGTGAAGGTCATCCAAACTCTTTGTAGTCATAACTTCTTATAAACATTAAGGGTCACCTTAAATACTTCAGTGTTTTTCTAGCACTACCAACATAAGCAAACCCTGCCATGCCCTTTGGTTCTGTATGGTCCAGTCCTGGACAAGGTCAGACTATCACAAACATGCTGTGGCTACAGCTTGGCAATCTTTTACCCCGAGGACAAAATACAGACTGTTGACTTTGATATGAGAGGTATGCTTTCTGTAATGTCAACAACGCAACCAGTTCTTTGAAATTTCTGTTCAACTCTTTGCAGCAATCTGGTAAAAAACAAACAATTCTCACAAGTGATAACTGGCTTTAAAATGCATTTTTGGTGGGATTTTGTCTTTCAAATATTTAATCCTTTTCCATCATGTCTGCATGCCTATAGAAGTCTACATTTTGTATATGGAGAAAAATTAGTGCACAATCTGTTATGAGTTATGAACTTATGACGAGTTGAGTCATAAACCAGCTGATTGAAACATCACACATGTTTGTCTTCTGCCAAAAGCTATGACTTTCTTCACACCTTGTATCTGGGTTAATCTTGGCCAGATCACCTACATGTCCAGAGATCCCCCTGCATTCCTCCCCAGTCCTCACCAACTCACACAAATGGTTGGAAGGGTTCCTAGTACTGGGCAGCAGACATCACCCAGACAGTTTACTTTGGACCAAACATTAGTAAACACTCCGCAGAGGTTAGTTCCTCTGGGCACCCTGCCTGCCCTGTTATTTAGAGGATGATGGGTCAGCCAACTGTAGACACATGTCCAACAGCCCAGAAAACAGGAGGGAGAAAATGACCTGTAATCACACATGAATGAAGTAAGTTTGAAAGATTCTTCCAGCACAATGTCATGGTTTTTACCAAAATTCCACAACTAACATGCCACATGCTGTAGGAAGTGAACAGTAAACATGATTCAGGGCTGGGCTGGACACTTGTCAGACTGCAGAAGAGTTTATATGCCTCAAAACAGTGAAGGTGTGACCACAGAAGTGTGTGTTTATAATTAGGACTAAACACACTGGATTGAGTTATCTTTTAGAATCAGGAGAGAGAAAATATGATATGACTGACACCTGTTGATATGTCTACAAGGAAGAGATGGAGCAAGAAAGTCTTAGGACATAGCTGTGGCCAAACTTAGAATGCTAACAAGGTCTAAGAAATCTGCAGACCCACCCAAGTCTGTAATAGCAGAAATGGGGAGTGACTGTATATCTGATGAAGATGTAATCAGGCAAGGGAAAGGCAAATAAACAGGTGGAAGGATAGGGAAAGGGTCAGCTGTCTGGAACATGATAAATAACAGGGAACACCAGTAGTGACATCAACATGTATGATGAATCAAACATCCCAGAGGGAACAAGGAGGATGTCTTCTCTAGGGGTGTGTGACTCCTGAGGGGAACAAGCTGTTTTGTTAACAAATTATACAACAATAACTTCTGTTCAATCATCATTTAGCTGCCGGTGCTAGGTACATGAAAAGAGCATTTGACTTTGTCGTGACATTGACACACACTCATTCAGTTGTCACCATTTGTTTGAACTTGGGATTCTTAAATTTGCTTACGTGTGAAAGAAATTACCTGGCCAGACTGTTCCAGTTAAAAGGTATACTGCACCCTCACATGTAGTGCTGTACTAGGTCTGGAGGTACAAGTAGGCTTTTGTAACAGGTTACATCAATTTGTGACCCTGGGTTGCCTATTCTCTCCCTCTCAGGTAGGGAGCAACTCTGGTTCAAAACTTCCTTTGCCACTGATTAAAGGAAATATGCCACGTAAATGAAACCAACAGGGTATCTGTATGTCAACAGCGGTAGGCCAGGATGTGGCAATTTAAAAATTCAACCATTAGTAACAAAAGCCATGAACTTTCCACACGCAAGAATGCAGCCTTCAAAGTGTTGCAGGCTCCTCCCCCTCGTCAAGTGACAAGAATGCCATGTTTGACATCATTCGAGAACTTGAGCTGTCTGTTGATACGTTTCCTGGAGGAGGATAAGCACTGGAATACACAAGGAAAGTCCTGATGTTCACCATATAAGGAGATGTCCGCCAGTAGACATTGCCTAATGCTCTAACAAGGACTGGGGTTTGTATGTAAACTCTACACATGAATGCTTGTAATTTCCGTCTTCTTTCTGACAGTACTAGTCTGGTGTAAGCAGTAGCAGTAAGGGGCAGATATTTCCATCTAGCTAAGGGCTACATCAGAAACATTAAAAAGAAGGGGCAACCTGGCAGTCAACATTATCTTCTCATCAGGGTTTTTCTAGAATTACCTGTCCTCACTCTCACATTACCTGTTTATGGGCGGGTAAGTGAGGATTGTGCAAAGCCTGATCTGGTAACGTTATAAGCGGCCCTTTCTACTCTGGCCTGCTTTGCAAGCACTGTAAATCCCATTCAGCTCTACCAACCAAGGCATGTCCGTGTCAGCAGGAAGATGAGCGTTGGGCTTCTCATGTCACTGGAAGACAGTCCGCGACTCTTCCCACACAATAGCCCTCTATACAGGGGCAGGACAACGTCAGGACGAAAATATGCAAGAGATTTAAATGGTTCAGCCAACCTCGGCTTCCAGAAAAGGCTATAACGGTCATGGTGCGATACGATAGCCCATGCAGGTAGGCAGAAGGCCACTATTGTCTTGTCTTATGGCAGGTGGATGCATGTACACAGTGGGTGTGTCTCTTACTCAACAACATATACTGTGTCATGCTACCTGTCAAAAAAAAACTTCCACCAAGCACAGTGAAAAGGAAACAAACAATCATTGATTTGCGAGCATTACCACTATCAGCTTGCCCAAGCACTCCAATATCTATGGGAACCAAATGGGTAACAACCATCAACAGGGATAAAACTTGTACAGGAAACCTACGGGGTCATGCAATTCAGAAACACACCGGCCTTGTGCAAATATGAGCAAGTCACGAAAAAAGTTGACACTTCGCTTCCTAAACACAGAAGTAAAACGATCCGGCACACACCACCAACGGCAACAAATATAACATACATACAAACAGGTAATCTGTGGTCTCCTTGTTGTCCATGCTGAGGCGGGAACTCATAGCACCTTCCAGCCCTCCACGCTCTCCTGTCACACCTGTACTGCACAAGCTGCCCCGGTACGTCCCCGATTCTCACCGACCCATGTCGTTACCATGGCAACTAAACCCTATTATCTGACAGTGTTTTCCATCCACACTCTCCTGCCCACTCTTTTAGTGTGTGTTTAACAGCTCCTGTGTTGGGGCGCTGACATGCTAAGAGTGCCTGTGTATGCATAAGCACTAGTTCAGCAAAGACAAAAAGGTGTGCATGCGCAGGGAAGGTTTCCAACGTACACACGCTTTGTAGGGTCTGAAAACATAAGGATGATTGAATAGTGTACAGAAAACCTCCTTCAGCTTTCAAGATGATTGCAACAGGAGGAGCCTGCATTGTTAATCAGGTCATTCCCAATGGGAAACAAACATTGTGTAGGTGTTCAGTTCACCAGACAACCTCTCCTTTCTTAAACCAACAATTCAAGGTTAGCTTGCATTGATATTTTCATTCACGTCTAAATATAGCTGTTATCCCCAAGAACTAAATAACCATAAACATGTCCACACCTAATACTTTATGACAGCCCTGTTATGCCTGTAATGCTAGCTGACCAGGTAAGTTGGGTGTCGGTCAGCTCAATATTTAGCAACCTCTACTCTTTTCACAAATAATAAAAGATCAATGAAGAGCCAGCAGTTGTACAACATACAGTGACGTAAAAGCTGCAAGCTGATCACATGCTGGAAAACTTGGAGGAATAGGCAATGTCTTCCAGAAGTTCTTAAGTTTACTTAATATATAAACACCAGTTGACTTCAAAATTGTGAAAGAATTGCTTTTTTATGTGCCTTCAATTACAGATCATATGATGGAAAAAAAGTAAAACTTTTACTCACAGCTGTTACATGTGTATTTAAGGACAATTTGCACAAGTCATTCAAAAGTTGAAGGTAACAACAAACATACATGAAAGTCCTATTTTCTTCCTCTGAGAATCCCAAACATCTAACCTTAGCTCAGCACATTCCATGATAACATATACACAAGGAGGTAGTAGAGACTTCAGATATCGGATATGTTCATGGCAACTGCCCAGAGGATTACCCATCTATCCCCTACCCTGCATCTCCTGCATTCCACCCTATCTCCATCACCATGTGGGGCACATACCTGCAGCTCCTTGATGCGTCTCTGAAGGTTGCTAACGGTGCTCTGGCTGTCTTCAAACTTGGCCTCCAGCACATGGATTGCCGTCTCCTTCCTGTGTAATAAATAAGGCAGTATAAATCAGTGGCAAGTTAGACAGGCTCAGGGTGATTACATTTACTTGTGGAAACATCTCTTTATTTTTTCATTGATGCTATTTCCTCAATCGATCATACCCATACATGTATATACACACTGATGAAGCATAAAATACATCTATCTTAGACATTAAATTGTTGATGTGATACAACTGGCACAGCAGTGACAAGCATTTTTGCTGCTATAGATTATCTCAAAAGTTTGTCCTCACTGGTAGGATCAACAACTGCAGTGTGGAGTTAGGCAGATCTACCAGCCCTGCCCTGCAGGAGTCTGTCTTCATAACAAGGCTAATCTTTCTAAATAGCCTGAATGCATGAAGAAAACAACTGGACAACTGGCTAATGCTCCTGGGCTATAACTCTTTGTAGGCTCATAATGAAGTCCAGACTTTGTTAATTCTCTTCAAGTATGACTTATGGCCTCAACAGAATGCCTTCCAAGTAAAAGAGGTGACCCAGATCACTCCCAGAGCAGCCAGTTACTCTCTGCTAGACTTCTTCTGAAGAAACACTGATTTCAGTTGGCTCAGAGTTTTTACTGTAGTAAAGTTGGGTTACACAGCCAAGTGACCCTCAGTGGGGTACAGTCAACACTTCTCACGTATATTGCCAAACAACAGAGTTCGCACACTGCTTGGGGGAAAATTCAGCATAAGAATAAAACAGCATGTACCTTGCGAATGATTATGGCTGAATACACATAAAAGAAGGTATATTTGATAGTTTTAATTCATCATTGGCTTTCAGTTGATATGAACTTGGTTATCTCACTGCATTCCACACTTCTCACATCTTACATAACTTTCATCTGTTTCACACAGACTAACATATCAATCATCCCTTAAAAATTTTGGCCTGTCTTGTACATTATGTTTGGATTAGTGCATATCAAAGTTCCTACAGCAGACCATGGGTTATTCCTCTGGTTTAGATTTTATGGGGTCAAAAAGGTCACTGGGCAACTTTACCCAAACAGACATACATCACTTGCTGTTATAAGGTTTCCACCTCTAGTACATTTTTCTTATTGTCTTACTATAATTCAATCCACAGATGAGGTCAGTCCCTCCCAGCTTGCCTGAAGCACACATGTCTGAGGAAACACATTTTAAAGTCATGGGTTCTGTCACCTTTCATGACAGGAGAAGTCATCATCTAGTTGATGGGCACTCTTGTAAAGATTTTTGTGAGGTGACCTCTCACCGGTTGGTCTGGCTTACTGGGTAAGGTTTGAGGAGGAGGGAATGTTAGGTCAGGGTTAGGGCAGCGATGATGAGAGACTCCAACACACCATTTTCAAGACTTGACACCAGAAAATACAGTCAAGAACTGACAATGAAGGATGTAAAGAATTCTTGGGGTGATTGGATAAAAAGATAGAAAAACCATTTGTGCATGTTTTACTTTGTTCTGTTCTATTCTTTTTAGCTACTCAACGTACAGTACATGTATGCTCCAAAGAGGTACTGGACAAAATTTCTCATTCACAAACTTCTACACTCCTCTTATACATGCCATTACACATAAATTGCTGAATCTCAACATAGATGGAGTTAGTGAATTATACATTAACATCAGTTAAGCTCAGTTCCTGAAGATGGAGCTGATGCTCCTACAAAAAGTTAGGTTGGTTCTAGGATATTTCATTGCGTCTACATGTATGTTGCATACAAAGTATTCCAAATTAGCAGCTGGGTACATAGCCCTCAAGCTGCTTTATGCAATCCTTCACTTTATGGTTTTTACTGTTGTAGGGGTGTTGTCTTCACCCCAGAGATTATTTTTAGGGGCCAGGTCATTCCTGAGATATTTTGCCACCTGTGCGAGTAATTAAGGACATACTTTCACAACTGGCATGAGACTCTTAATTTTTTTTCGAACAAACTTTGGCCCATATTTGATCAGGCAATGTAGTAAATAGTGAGCTTCAAATCTAGATAACATATCACACTGTTTGCTTTTACAGGACCTGGTGTAACAATATGGTACCCTATATCTATGTTATTAGACATAACAGTAGAGTGTATGACTGATGTGTGGATAAAATGTCTGTGTCAGAAGGGTAATATTTATCAAATTAATCATTGTTACAACTTGACAAGTAAATTAAGCAGGCAGTGTAAAATAGACAACTCTTTAGCTCAATGTTTGGTTAGAGGCTAGGTAAGGTGAAAGCATCATAGTGTTGCTATACATTATATGTGAAACAGTGACTGCTTGTTGCCTCTGAGACGGTGTAGAAATGCAGGATAAGAATGGTTTCCTGGTCAGTGTTAACTGTCAGGACAGGATTGTCCAGTTTCCTGCTAACACACGTTGGCGGAAGCACAGATACATTCCATCTGATATAGAGAGGCTTAAAAACACAAATACAGCTACAGAGGAAACATGACTAAGATCCTGGGTGAGCTTGTTTTGGTGGAGGTACAGACATGCATGTATCATCATCATCATATAACAGAATCAGAATCTCCATCATTTGATGTAGCTATCAGATTTTTGTTTCAGTGATCACTTAATATATATAATTATGGAACATATGGAAAAGGGAATTATTTAAAAATCAAAATGGAAATAAAACTTTGAATAGAAATTCAAAAATTATTGGTTGGGGTATAGGTCTGACATCCATTATAATATTGTTGTCAACATAATGGGTTATCTCATGCTTTATGTTTTTCCATGTTCTACATGTAATTCCACTCTACTTTCCCTTCTTAATTGAAATACAACTAGCTTAGCTTAGCTTAGCTAGTGCAGACTGTTTTATATCACTGGTTTACATCTGCCTTCTATAAATATGGATGCATGGCAAGGTCTAAAAAATGGAGGATAACTGCATACTCTTTTTACAATATAACTTACTTACTTACTTACTTTATAATATAAAAGAAGAAATAATCCATTAGTCTTGAGACACAGTCTCCACAAGTACAGTCAAGTTAAGTTGTTCTTTGTGAATATACAATAAAACCTGGAACCTTTTAAAACCCAAGCAGCCATGCAGACCACAGTCACAGTGGGTCTCCTCAAGACACAGCATGACTTCTTAAGGGCCTTAAAAACTACACCCCTTATCCGTCTTGAACTTGACCTGTCTGGACCTTGGCGCACTTTATCACTGCCAAATGTAAAACTGTTGATATATGTGAGTAATCTTTTAATCCCTTAATCCTACAAGGTTGCATGGCTTGTAACAACTGGGAGGCAGACAGGAACAGAGGTCACCTTACTTCCAACATGGCTCCACCACAGGGCTTCCATGTGTACACAAGCCACTACAAAAACACCAGGACTGGCTTTCTGGGGCTTTGAAGTCTGTTTTTCATAATTGGCTCTGAGAGAAGTCAAAGAGGACTGCTGGTTATAGCTTTGTAGTACTGCTGGATTACCAAAAATATAAGTAGAAAAGAAAGTCTCCACACCAACGGAGTCACCGTTATCCACAAAGCTAAAACTTTTTCAGAAAGTTTTCAAGAGCTAGAATCAAACATAGCAAAACAAAACTGAGCCCCCCTAAGAAGACATAAAAGAGTCTTTAGCTTTTATGTGACAGTCATGATCAAGACTAGAGACCACAAATGTTACCCATTAGTACAGGAGGAAACTGTGACCTTTTCAAAGCCCACAGATTGAAGAGTACCTGATGTGGGCACAAATGTCGGCAATTACTCCCATCAAGTTTTACAGGATAATCAAAGCTACCCTGGAACTGATAAATCGGGATGATCTGGGGAGAGAGCTAAGTTTCACCCCTGGAGGTCCTTGTGCAAAGCCCTGATTTTCAGTACTTATTACCAAGTTTTTTAAGTTCTTTAAGAGTGGCATGGAAGTTTAGATTCTATCCATCCAAGCCGTAGTGTCAATTTGGACCAAGGCATCCAGAGTCGAGAATGATCAAGGAATCTCTTGGCACATATGTCTGTCTGGGATGTCCATGAATGTAGAATCCTCAGAACACGGACAGCTGTACCCCAGTTTTACAACAACCCTACATCATTGATGTGACACCTGATGGTGTTGGTGTCTCTGTACATTAGCATTCCTACAGTGATTCACCACAGGTGAGATCATTCCTGGTCACAACTTCTTCCAACTTCAGTTTCAATTGTACAGGACAGTAATTATTCACTGTATTAAAGTCATAACTCAAGGTACACCAAGCTAAATGTTGCTGAAATTTGGGACAGGGACTTACAAACCAAAAGTTTCTGTAACTTACTTGGAGATGTCTTCCTCCAGGAGGCTCCTCTTGCTCTCTCCGTCTGCGATTTTGTCGTGAGCGACCTTCAGGTCTGACTCCAGTTTCTTCTTGATCCTCTCCACCTCCTGCCGGATCTTCTTCTCCTCATCCAGGGCATCTTCCAGCTACAGGTGGGAGGGTAGAGGGGGAGTTACACACATGGTCTGGAGGAACAAGTCACTTAACAAGAGATGGAAGAATGGTATCCTGTATTGCTAAGTTGAATTATAAAGGAGAGGTACATAGTAAGGGATATGTAGGGACTACATATGGGCTTAATTATGCTAATAAAGATTGAGACATTCAGCTTTAATGGAATTTGAACTTGATATACTTCTTATTGCAACATACTCTTATGAATATCAGACTGTCTTTTGGGTCCTGTGATGTAACATCACCATCTGGTCGTGAGCAAGTACATGTTGTTGTTGGCAACTCATGTATAAATTTTGCTCCCAATAGTATAGTTCACTGGATAAGTTTCAATTCCTCTTTTGAAGTCTTAGTGCCAGCAGGCAGGAGGCAGATTGAAGGATAGACAATCACAAAACCATTATAGTTTGCCCAGGGATTTGCTTTGAGACAGCATATTATTAAGGACGCAATCTGATGCAACACAGCATGGCCTGTCCTTGGTGCTGAACGCCATCCACTCACATTACCTGTGAATGCAGACCTCAGGCATTTCTATCTTATCTTTCAGGCCTTATGCTCTGCATCTGCTTTCATTGTCAAAGCTAAAATAAGCTTTGTGAGAATACATGATCGAGGGACTTTTAAAGTAAAGTTGCTGATACATCCCAGTTTGATGTAGGGTTTGAAGTGTGTGATGACCAACAATGGAATATTGTCACGAATATAAAGGACCATTCTGGTGATAACACAGAAAGGGATTATGGAAGAAATAACATCCATGGCATGCTACAGGGCTCCGTCTTTCATCTCTTTTGCACATAACTGATATCACCAAGTTTCTTCATACACATCATAATTGAGGTCAGAGGGGCTGAAAGGAAACCTGTTGGTGGGGTCATGTTGAAATTTCCAGCAGACCAGTTTGTGATAACTCTCTTCAACAGAGTGATAAGATTACAGATAGGGATCACTCCTACTCATGAGTCATACATTTTCTAGATTAGGTATCAGATTAGAATTTGAAACTCCAAACAAACTGTTCAAGATCACAGGTCAGGAGCCAGGTTGTTACACAAAAAACACTAAGAACTGTTTCTGTTCAACAGCTGCACTCTAATACAGGTACATGTAGATGCATATCTGCACACAAATGTGTTTATGTGTACATTTGTTTCTTTTTTCCAAGAACAATATCATGTTCCAAGGATGTATGAATCAAGGCTTAGTGTCTGATGTACAAGACTGATGCATAACATCAGACTCTATAGCAACCTACATGTGCCTGCACACCTGGGGTGTTATGCCCCAGGCAGTTAAACTGGTTTGTGAAGACGAATGCAGGTGGTGTACAAAGGTGAAGGGTACTGACCTCATCAAGAGTGGTCTCCAACTTGACCTTAACCTTATTAAGGTGGTTGACCTTGTCCTCTTCAGCTTGTAAGTCTTCCAGGGTTTGCTGTATAAAAAGGACAGATTATTTAATTATCTTAATCTGTTGCAACAGTCATAGAGCATGAAAAAAGATAACTACATCAACCTTACAAAACATGGCATTCCTGTGGTAAGTAACAGGGCTACACATGTCTACATGATGATAGCTTTGATATGCTGCCACATTAAAGTTGTATTATTGCCGGACAGTGATCGTAAAGAATTTCCTAGAATGTTGGCAGTTAAGATAAGCAAAATATCTACACTTGTCAATCAGGAGCACCAGCCCATGTTTATGTACAATACTGACAGTTGAACCCTTTTCCAGATGTTAACATAGATACTCGGACACTCGGACTACAGGGGAGCAAGCAGACATTTTGCTGAAAGGGCTAGTCAGAAAGGAACAGAAACGAGTTCTTTGAATCGAGAAATGATGTCCCTTGCTTAAGAATATTACATCAATGTTGATATATCACAACAGCAGTTACGAACATGAAGTAAATAATGAATAATAAACATGAAACATTTCAAAATTTGTCAGAACACACAAGCAACCTATACAGTGATTGCTTCTGCTAACAATAAGAAACAGTTATTGAATGGATAACACAGCCTGGAGTCCAGTCTTGTTATCTTTAGTTCACTTTAACGGTTGCTACCCTGTTAGTAGCGACCTTTGCCAATTTAAGCTAACAAGACTGGACTCCGGGCTAAGATAACTGGCTTCTTGTACCTTACACATTAATGACTCCTCTGAAATGAACAACTCCAAGAGTATATCCTCTGCCATTGGTACACAGTTGTGGAGGACCCACCAGTAAGACCAGCTACCGAATGGCTACTACAGAGCCTTGTCTGGAGATAAAACAGGCTACAGTGTGGGAGTCTTTGGTAGTGCGATCACAGAAAAGGCTTAGAAAGTCCAGCTGAGGGCAGGGCCTGCACATGTATAGTGTTACTTCCTACACAGGGTTGGTCCCTTTGGTAATGGTGGTTCCTCTACCCCAGGGAGTACATCTGAAGAGTCTGGACCACTTGTTCAGATAGGTTGCAGTGTACTACAGGAAGGGGGAAATGACTAGCAGATGGGGAAACACAGACTTTCCAATTAAAACTTGAAGGACAGGAGGTACAAGGGGTAGCTACCATGTCAAAGAGATGCCGCTGTGCAGAGACAGAAAAATTTATGTCCTCAGAGATTAGTGGGATAAAACATGCTGCCAGGTATTCCATATTGTACATTGGCAGGTATCTCTGGAAACAATCTAACACCAGTAGCTAATCAATGGTAGGATAACAAAATTTGTAAAAGCATTCCAACCAGACAAGTATGGGCATCTTCTTTTGGAAACCTTTATATATATATATATTTAAGAATGAATACAGCTTGTTTGTATCATATGACCAAAGGACTTGTAGACACAGCTATTTTGATGTGGTCATGTTGAAATTTCTGATGTGGACACATTTGTGATGCTGCCTTTCTTTTTAACAGCTGAACTGTATGAACCTGTGAGCTGACCTGAATGATCAAAGACTACAATCATACAGTAAAAATTGACCTTAATTGAAAACAAGTCCAGGAATTTGAAAAAGTATGAAAATCCAATCACCATATGACCTATTTTTCCCAATCTAGCTATTTGAACACATGTGTTTGATTGCATTTATTTTAGAAGTCAATGATGCTCCTAATCTAACTGTAGTATCTTAAGAAAAAAAATGTTTGAGTTCGGTGACACAAGGAGCCACCAACATGTAGGGCATCTTTGTACTCAAACATTGTTGCCTTCGACGAGAAGGCTATGAAATCGTTTTGGCACTGTTTGACAGATTATGCACGATACATTTTGAAGGCATGGTCCGAGGTTCACGATTTTTGGCAGGCAGGTTGTCTTAGTGATGGGCATTGTCAAATGGAACGAGTTGTGATAGAAAAGGTACAGGCCGTACATGTACAGTAATGTGACTAACTGACCTGAACTATCGATGTCATCAAATTTTCCACCTGAAGAACACATAACCCCTGCAAGAAGTCATACCTGGTTGAGTTCCTCCAGTTTCTTCTTCTCCTTGGTGACTCTGTCGATGGTGTCCTCCTTATCCACCAGCTCAGCCTCCAGCTGCCCACACTTGCGATCATAGTCCTGCTTCTCACGCTCCACCTGCACACACACACAAACACCACTCCATAAATCAGTCAGGCAAAAACATCAACTTAACACTTGGGTTGAAACTATGAAATACAATCTTGACATACACATCTTGATTTTATCATATCAGCTTTAGTCTTTGTAGCAAAAACAAAAGATTATCCCTTAATATGCTTGACTTAATTGTGACTCAACATACAAACTCATGGCATGTTACACTGTCATTACTCCACCAGCCTGCTTATGAAAAGTCACAGTGCAAATGCCATGGTCAAGGTTAGTCCTTAATTACAATTATTTTGAAACACACAGTCAGTGTTGATATGACATGGTTATTCGGTATCACATTAACTAATGACCTTTGTGAGCAAATGTATGCTCTAATGAACCTGTGCAGACATGTCAGGTAAGATAATATCTTAATAAGAAGTAATGTGCTGCTGGTTAGACTGCTGATGATACAGTCCAGTGATGCTCAAGTTCACTGGTACAGTGGCACAGCCTTACTCAACTCAGGCAATCATTATGAAACTGGAATGCAGCAGACCTTTTAACCTTCATCGGTACTTTATCATTATAACCTACTTTGAAGTACTGGTAATGAGTTGAGGGCAACATTCACAGTAGAAAAGATACACACTGTAGTATAACTTGGCTCCATAATTATCATGAACTAGTAAGTAATTAAAAAATTCAACACTGTCATTGCACCAACACAACTGTACACTATCAATCAAAGTACAGGCACATACATGTAGTGTATAGGGTCTAAGGTTTGAATGGGGAACGTTCAATAGCCAGAGTGTATGACTCTGTCCTTTATAATGTACAGACGTATAATATAAGAACATTGTCCCCAAATGCAGTAGGTCAGAAAAATTAGAAATGTAACATGTAAGTTCAAAACTTTTGATGATGTGAAAACTTTGAAAGGTCGGTTAGAAAGCTTACAAGATTTACGGCCCTTCACAGCTGAACCACATGTAGAAAGTGCTCTAAATGACTTGAGGAATTAAATGTACTGTAAAGTTGACCTAACAGCTGTAGCAGACTGATCAATCTTCCACTAGTCTTATACCAACGGAAATTCCACATTACTGACCATGTCTAAGACACAAGCATGATGACATGGACAGTTTTTAAAAGAGGACACCAGGCCAGCAAATAAAAAGATTTCAAGATCGATCAGAATGATCTTGAGACAAAGTAGGCCACGAGAAAGGGATAAGGACTAAACTTTCCATTGCAAAATAAAACATGAGATGGTGATGAATCGAAAACCACACGACATAACCAGGTTACATGGAAAAGTGAATGCTAACTTACCATCCATGCAGCAGACAGCTTGTCCAGGGAGGATAAGGTTGTATTGAGGTCTGTTGTGTTATACTTTGCAAAGTTTGTTTCTATAACCTTTAGTGTCGCCATCTTAATTTCCTGAGGTTGGTCTGCACACTTGCAGACAGGATGTGGATCTTGCTGTGCAGCTCCAAAAGCAATCATGGAAGGTAATGTTGCCTCTCCTGCAGTGCCTCCTCCCCGGGATAGCCTGGCAGGCTGACTGAGGAGATCTAATAGGAATCAGGCCATATCACAGTCTGCCATGGAAACCAGCTCCTCCACAGGCACCACCAGCACCTGACTGCAAGGCCAAATCAGCTCCGCTCCACTGCCCTGGGCGGTCGACCTCTAAGACCACAAGCATAACTGCTGCATTAATCCAGCATAGTTTGGGACTGGTGATATCAGGAGCTTTTAGCCCTGGTGACCCCCAGCTTCCTTCTAACAATGTGGAGAAGAGCTGGTCTGAGCACCTTGCTTTAACTGATTGAATTCAGAAGTATCACCATGGCAACAGTGATGTAAACAAGGAAATGTTAACTTCCATTGGGGAAGTCTGACAACTAACTGCTTTTATCACAAAATGACTAATTTGATTCCATCTAATTGGCTCTCTCTTTCTTCAGTTCATTGCCTTCTTGGTTAAGATTTCTTGATGACCCTTCATTGAAGACAGATGTTTTATTGACAGTTGACGCAACTGTACTTGTACTTATGACATGACAGATGTGACTTGAAGCTTTCATTTGGCCAGACATATCACTTGGACTATGTTTCTGGACACAATGCTGACCCCAGGAGCCCTGCTCAGGTCTGTAATGGTGGAGTGTTGCTGTGAGGTATGTTAATCTGGATACTGTAATCCTGAGGTATTGCCTAGCTATGTCACAAAAGGACTGCAGGGTTTTGTCTCAAGTCTTAAGATCAAAGGTTGAAATATCAGAGCCAGACTTTCCACCCTCGGGGACAAAACAACCCTGACAACCAAGGCAAGCTGATACCCGCAGTGCTTTGTCTTGGACAACTTTCCTGAAGGTCACTGCCCACAGAAGTCGGGAAAGTCAAGGTCAAAACATGTGTTTGAAGTTCAGTTTCAAAGATGCATCCACATGACATCAGCACCAGTGGATGTTTCTCACAATGATAAGCTGGAAATGTTGAAGTCTCCACCACTTGTGTGGTGTCAGTCTGCAGGGCATACATAAATCCTGACAGAGTGTTCAGTTTCCCACTGAAGGACACTGGGATAATTGAGCAAATCCACTGAACTAGCAAAGCAAAGGTACTGGAAATTGGCTACTTTTACTTCTCTCACGTTTTATACAATCATTCTGCAAAAATGTTCTGGTTCCTGATGCAGAATGAATGGGTTGAACACAGAACATGACCACATTTGCAACAGGGGTGTTGCTACAACTAACGGTCATGTTTTGAATTAAGAATAGCAACAGGAACACCGTTATTACCTCAGCAAGTTTAAAAACACAACATTTTTAATGTGTCACAGGTACATGTAAACAGGTTCCTACATGTACCTACCTGCCTAAAAATAAGCTTTAATAGCTGCTGATACTATAGTTCACTCATCATACATATAAAATGTAAGATTTATATACAATATGGCTGTCCATCTATGATACACCTACATGTATCCCCCCCCCCATATAGCTACCTGTGCCTGTCTACAATATAAACCACTTAACCTTTCAAACTATTTGCATATGCAGTTAAGTATCTTTTGTAGACAGACCAGTCTTCAATGGCTAAGCAGTCCATATATCTTCTGTCCAGACATGTTTATTGCTGGAAAGGGTCAACAGGTCAGACGTTAACTCAGGTAGCAATCTTGATGAGAGTTCTGTTACTATTACAACCAAGAAAAAAGTCCACTTAAAAGATTGACTGGTAACACTTGTATTGGAGCAAAAACAACTTCAGTGGGTCATAATATGTAACAAACCTCCCCAGCAGACAACCCCCTGTGGTTGTTTGACCCATTAAACACAGACCAACTGACTCACTGAGTGCCAACATGAAGCTAGGTAATTCAACTGAGGAAGTCAATGTGTGTGTTGAGAGTATGGAAAGTCTCTGGCATTTAACTGATGGGCACTGCTCCTATATTTCAGGCATTCTGGCTAAAGTTCAGGTTACTTTGGGACTTCCCATATCTAGAAAATTTAGGCACAGGATCAAAAATGTCTGTGTCTGGACTCAGCCTGTCAGAGGTAGAACGACCTTAAGTTCAATTAAGATGCTCTTTTGTAAAGTGTTCTTCAACTTGCAGAGTAAAGATGTATGGGATTGTAATAAAGGCATTCATACAGGTATGGCAGCACATTTTGGAAACCCTTTGACGGATGATAGCAAAAGGTACCGTATTGTAGGTTGTCATCATAATCTCAAGCAAGAACTAAGCTGCTACTCAGTTGCTCAACTTTTTAACTACCCTAGGTGGCTTGCACACATGTTATTAGCAAATTGAAGAGATACAGGAGTTTTGGGAAAGTGCTTCTTATCTGGTCCCAATCAGGTCTGCAGAACCATTAGGACAAATGAAGACAGAGCTGAGGGATTTGAAGACCAGACACAGCACACACTTCTCTGCCCATTTACATGTGGGGCTTATCAGCCATGGATCAACCCACCACACCTCCCAACAACATTCACTCTGCAGTACAGGCAGTTTCACAGTCTTTATGCATAGCACTCTGAGAATATGGAATTTAGAATGCATCGAACGCGAAATTGATGAATGCTCAGTCTCAATGAGCATTAAGGTAACTTCTTCTTTCTAGGAAACACAGCTGAACATTTTGTATAGAGCAATACTAACAGTGTTCTGGGCTCAGACACATGTTCCAACTCCACCCTGACCAGACCACTCTTGGTTCAAGGCTACATAAATGTTTTGGCATATCACTAACCTTGCTGATGGGATGTTTCATTATATGATTCAGGTCAGAGAGGACAGATCCTCAGACAGGCAAGGACTGTCTGACTACCTTGGAATATTTGATGTTGCATTACTTCATGCAAAGCAGTCATTTTCAGGATAACTTCTAGTTGCATCCAAATTCAAGATATCATGAAGGTATAACATGTTTCTGGTGACAACTTGAACTTACAGGGGTAAAAAAATTTAGCCACCAATTTGTATACACCTGGACATGTTGTGGTTCGTTAGAGACTTAGAGGTACATGTAATGCCCTTTGTCTGGAACACATTGACTTCTATTCATCTCCCTTGACTTACACAGTGGAACCTCCCACCAGACTAACTTGCAGGACACACATTGTTACATGGGGGTGGTATGGTTCAAGTTGGGGTCGTGTGGCTACAGGTGGTGCAAATCACACTCCTTTACCCTTTTCTTTACAAGAAGGCCTTCAACTATGCCTGCCTTTCAGGATAACCCAATCTAAGGGATTAAAAAGTCATTTTGGAACACACCTGTGCATGTATGGGGGAGGAGATTTCCAACAAGTGGACCATAAATTTGGGAATAAATCAAAAGAGGAACTGAACATAGTTTCATAAACATGTCCCCAAGTTTATGTTAGGAAACTCTATTTGAGTCAGTTCATAAATCAGTAACTTTTGGAGAATTTCAAAGGCTGCGAATTTTTAACAAAATAAGATTTTCTACATTTTGTTGTAATTGTGCATGTAATTTGGGTCTATTCTTAGACAAAAGTTTGTATTGACACACAGTCAAATAAAAGGACCAAGGCAACACTATGAGAAGTTTCAGTTTACATATAAAGTCTGCACAACTTAAGAAAATCAAATAGAAAATGTTTTGGCAATGTTGAAGTCCATTTATGAGGTGTGTACATTGGCTAGGCTCCAGGTCCTATTCTGCCACACCATCAAGGTTAGTTTGAAAGACTCCTAATCAGGACCATCAACACATTGCCAACTGTTTCCCCTCTTGCTTTAAAGGATTTCCTCTTTAACCTCCTTTCTTATCTGGTACATTTTGCACCACCAAAAATGTGCAAGAAGGGTGGTATGTGCCAACGATACTAGACAGTTCTGCAGATAAAACTCATCTCATAACTCAAGTGAACATCTTATAAATTAAAAAATTCTTATCATAAAGAAATGTCAGATATTCTGATTTCAGAGGTGTGAAAAAATTCCTCCTAGGTGGCCATTTCCAATTCAGAAATGCAGGTTGGCTTCTTTGCAATGTCAAGAATGTAACACCCATGATTCTGACAAAATATGCCAAATTCTTTCATATACTTTCCTACTTGATAATACAATACTAGTCTTCCACAAAAGGAATAAACTAGCATATTAAGGAAGTTTTGGACATAATACAACATTGAAATAAGTAGGGGATTGCTTATCCATAGTACAGGCTCATCCCTAATTAGGAGAAGAATATTTTTTTTCTCAAACAGATGTTAGATGTCCAGTACTAATTCAAACACATGATATTACACTATCCAATATCATAGATAGGTGAACATATTTTAAGTCATATTCATAATGTTTGCCAGTTTGCCAAGGTGAAGGAACAGCTGCATAATTCTGAGATGAAAAGTATCAAACAGTCACTGATTGTTTACCGTAATAGATCCATTATTTGTTTGTTTAGGGAACTTTGAAGAAAGGAAAACTGGGTGGGGAGGAACTTCCGAGGAAGGAAACTTGAAGATGGCTGGTAGAGTTCCTGACTTGGATACACAAAACCTATAAAACTTGAGCTGGGTCAGATTTCCGACTGCTGTGGAGCAGTCCTCAGTGGTTGGCTCTTATCAGCAGAGCAGGTCAGGGTATGGGTGACCCTGCATTTTACCCTGGGGTCAGCCTGGGCTACCAAGGTTGCCTGATTAAGCTCATGATAGGATTTACAGACTACCATAGAAGAGTTCTGTCTGATTAGGTATGTTGTGTTACAGATGCTCATTTTCAAGGGACTCAATACTACTTGATGTCTACTTTAAATTGATGGATATCATTAAGTCCAAGATACCAAAGAATAAATGAACAGTCAAGACATTCCCAAGACGGGACTGGCTAACTTTAAGTACCAACATGTATTCATACCCCATACAATCAGATAGGAAATAGCAGTAATGGATTATGTGTGGAGAGAAAGCATGACTGTTCTGCTTGCTTTCTGTGTTTGTCTATGCAATTAGACTGGTCTCCCCTGTGCTATGGAGCGGGAAATCTTAATTGGACATGGTTGTGGAGGATGGGTCCAGCAGCCCAGACTCTCCTGCTGAGGGCAGCAATTACAGCAGCCTGGCTCACCAGTGGTGGGGAGGGTGAAGAAAGGCTTCTAATTTGAGAAATATTTGGAGATCAATCCCGCAGACCGGCTTTTTGGTAAGTTAGAATGTTCACATATGAGTTGTGTAGAGAGCAGGTAGGTATAGGCACATCAGGAATTGACAAAGGGACACATTCAGGAATCGATACTCCAGCCCTGCACCTTGGTGGGTACAAGTACATGTATTGTGCAGAAACAGGACTGCTATCCACTAGATCACAGCATACCACACTATACCACTATAACACAGCATAACACATAGCTGGAGATCAGCACATGTCACACCTTTAGTCCCAACATGATGCCTCAGACACCAGACAGTCTGCACTTTCAGCTACCATTTTCAGCTGGCTTGTAGGATGTTTAAAGTTGGAATCCCCTGATTTACCTCAGGATATCCTGGTGAAGATTATACTCTGAAAGGTTTATCCTGAGCTATTTTGAGAAAAGTTAACCCTTAAACATCAAAAACATCTTTGAAACATTACTTACTACCACAAGTACAGAAACACCATAACAGGAGGGTCTGTAAAAAAGCTCCCATAGGTTTTGCAATGTATCAGGCTTGCTGTAGTGAGTTTACAGATGAAAGTGGAAATGGAAGAAGACAAGGGAGGGTGTACAGTTAATTCATGTAACAGCTGGAGTTCCCAGTAACTTAGCTTTCATCCTTTAACCCATCAAACCACTCTTCGGAAGTCTTAGGGGATGCACAGTGGCATGGTCCTACTTATACAGGAACACTTAAATCTTAGAAATTTTGAAAGGCAAGGTTCCACAGCAGAACAGGTGTTACATGTGTAAAAAACCTACTGAATTATCCCCAAGTCTCTGATGTACAAAAATGTACATAAGCTGTGCATTCCTGTTCTATCTGTTTTCTCCTGCCAGCTGGCATGTACATCACCCGATGGCATCCAATCAGAGTGCTCGAATAAATCATCTGACCTAGGCAAGTTCATGACTTCGAGGGCAGTGGGTGACAATTAGTGAGGAAAACTGGGAAGCATTTTTCTCAACACCATCCATCTGTTTCATTTGTACAGTGAAATGACAGCCTTGAGTCTAGTTTGGGAATTGTCTTAATGATCAATTCTTTTTTTCTGCAAATGATGTGATCTGTATCTTATGGGTTATGGTACTGTATACCATACTTCCCCATGTTTTCAGCACAGCTTAATTCTCTCTTTATGGCTTTTATTCTCCAGTTCAAAATCCAGAAAGACCTGATAGGCTGAGGTACATCAATTCTAGGTTTATTTTCTTTAGTGTTGAGTCAGTCTGGCCTGTAAACCCAGGGGTGACAGGGTCCCCAGGTTTGATTATTTTCATACAGTGTTTAAATTCCACTAAAAGCTGGGTGGACACAGGTTCTTAGATAAACAATGATTGACCATTGGACCAACCTGTACAAGATAATAAGTGTTTTTTTGTGGCCCACCATACAGCTTCCTTTTAAGACCAAACTAAGACTGAATGTTAATTGAATCAGCAACACTCTCTTCTGAGAGTACGCTCTCGTTGCCTAGCAACAAGTGTTCTTAAGGCTTCCTCTGTTTAAGAAGTTTACAGGAGCCACTACTTGTCCTTCCCTTAAAGGGCTGTGTGTTTGGCAGGTCTGGCATTCCTTCCACCAGGTTTATGCAGACAGGAATGAGGAACACGTTGGCTGACGTCTCACATGTCAACACTCTCCCTTGTGAGGAGTAAACACTGTACATTTGGCAATGCAAGTGACTTACAGGCACAGGCTGGCTGGGATAAACAAGTAATAAACCATATAGAACATTCAGGTGATTTACCGTAGAACAAATGGAGAATTTCTCACCTTGGAAAGGGTCATCTCCAGGTCTTCAATGTCATGTTTCAGCTCATCGCACTCCTCTTCAATCTTACGCTTGGATGACGTCAACTCGGCGTTTGCATCTTCCTCGTCCTCTAATCTCTCGCGTAGTTCTTGGATCTGTGCCTCGTAGTCAGCCTTGGTCTTTATAAGTGCAGCACACCTCTCCTCGGCATCAGCCAGGTTGTCCTGCTCCTGTAAACCATTCCATAAAGGAGGAAAGTCTAAGTCCTTGCTCCTCTTGTGTGCCATGTTTGAACCAAGGATGCCACACTAGCTATGGATGAGTAAGCCAGGGTGCACTTTTTTCTCCCCCTCACCATCACTGTTTGGTCTAGGTCAGCTGAGGAATGTTCCGAGCTTTAGAACTTGGACTTGGTTCATAATTTGTTTCCCCCACCGAGATAAAAAACATTTCCCCGCTCCCCTTTTTTGGAGGCCAGGCAGCAGCTAGAAAGTGTCTGAAAACCACTCAGCGGAAAACCTCATACCACAGTGACGTAGGGGTTTCTCTTCCTGCCACAGTTAAACATGAGATCATGCTTCCCTGGCTCTCCCTGCATTTCCTCACTTTAGGGCACCTTGAAACAATTTCAGGGGACAGGGCTCTCCCAAGCAGAAAACAACTTGTGGATGCTTAACTTGGACTTTTGGCACTGGGGACAGATTCCTTGATCAAAAAGGTAGCAGAGGTTGTTCTAATCTAAACCAGATCTACAGGTCTTGTCATATCCTGACACATATCAGCTTGAGCCTGAGGACTAGTGCAGAGCCAAGGGAAATTCCTGTCTGTCCAAACAGATAAGGAAAGGGGGGTCCTGGGTGGACAGAACTCTGTGGGACCCTGAGTGACTGTATATCCCACACATAATGTCAGCAGTAGCAGGGAGTCCCAGGGGAGCCACCTTGTATATGACAGCCAGCTGACAAGTTAATAAGTAACATCATAAGGAAGAGGTTAGGGTAAGAGTGAAGATGGATGGTTTAGCTTGAGTCTCAAGTGGACAGGATTATGCTTAAGTCCACCACTTCTGGGCCTTCAGCTGCAGGTAGTTGTACTAACTGATTTAGCAGGAATATGTAAAACCACCACATGCAATCACTTGCACATGGCCTGACCCACTTCTTTTTTCTTGGAACACTGATCCTGTCCCTAGATGTAGTTACTACACTCCAGAATATCAAATGATAATCTTTCATTCCATTCTCTATAAGTATACCTGCTATTATATAATATCAGTGTACCAATTTGTTTATGTGTATTACATACATTTAAATACACATTCCTTGGCAACTTGGAAATGTGTCAGCTGATTCTGATCAGTGGTGTTTTTCCATTTCACAATCGGGCAACAAACTAGTATATGGAGCCAGAGAAAAGACATGATTTATATCAACCTGTAAGGCAACCACTCTCCTAAGAATCAAGAGTTAGGTCAGGAATGTGAACATTTGACACTCACAGGTTTTACTTTCCAACAAGCTGATTAGACAAAACAACGTAAATCATTTCAACAACCTTTTGCATATTCTTGAACAGATGTTAATGGGAACGATGCAGTGCCCTCTTAGATTACTGGATTATATTGAGAATGTGTTTCAGCCCTTCGTGTGGTGGTCAGACACACCTTAGGAGATGTAGTTTACCTTTGATGATCAGGAGACTAGTTTGTGCCCATTTGTCATGGTCAGAGTTCAGCAAACTTTCACTCTTTGATGTCAGTTCTTACCATACCTAGCCTGGCTCCAACAAATAATTGAAACCACTTGAGCCAGACTAGTGGGTAAAGTCGAGTAAATCTAGTAGATGTGGGGGTATACTAAGGGATGAGTCAAAAGTTTTTTTGGACAAAGTCTAAGTATAAGGGTGGATGGATTGTTAATGGAAGTGGGAGTGAGGCATAATTTTTTTCCTGAATAAAACAAATGGCTACAGGAAACATTGATATCAAGAGTTTAAGAGTCAAAGTTCAAGGTTCTTTATCATCCATCCTTATTAAAAGTGTGGCATTCTTGGCAAGTCATTCCTTTGACAGCTGCAAATTCATGTACATTAGTATAATTAGCAATCAATCAACAAACTTACCATTGGTGAAGATGATTATGACAGCTACAGTTTCCTCCAAGAGGTAGAACCTGAAAAGTCTTTCTGACAGATGTTCTTGGTGTGGAGACTTCCACCGTTGTTCAGTTTTCCAACATTAGATGGCAGTGATCTGCAGCTAGGTCCCGAAGGAAGTTCCAAAATCCACCTACCTTACTTCCCTGGCAACTGCCATGTTTGCTTCAACCCTGAAGCTCAGCATTATCGATACAACTTCAGGCCCACCTCCAAAAGTCATAATTACTCCTTCATGTGGACAGTTTAATGATGTTGAAGGTAACTGACAGGTCTGCAATCATCTGTTAGCTACGACGTGATCATAGAGAATTTCTACTAAACAGTAAGTCTGAATAAAAGCACTACAGCCGGACAACTAGGTCAACAACCTCTGAACCAACATTTTGAAGCTGTTAGATACTTCACTTTTGGTGGTATCAGACAGAAATGCCTCAAAGTATTGCAGTACAAATATTTGCAGGAAACTAGATAAGGCCACATTCTGTAGCCGAGGTTTTGTGCGAGCCAATTTACGACAATTTCAATTAACGACTCTAAACATTACATCCCCAAGGCCTTGAACTACCAAGGGTCAGACAGTATGCAGTGTAAGTGATCATAATTCCAGTTTTCTCTGATGGGGGGTGGTGTTACACTAAGATTCCCACAAAGCTCATTACAAGGTATATGGCTTAGAAAGCTCCAATAATCCGTTTGGAGGGTCTGGTCGAGCAGGTCTCAGCATCCGCTGCTCACAAAACAGTCCTGAGAGTTGAAACAGGATAATGCAGGCTGAGGTTTCTACAAACACACACATAGAAGCTATGATAACAAAACAAGTAACCTCAACAGATGGTGTTGGCTAAAGCAGAGAAATGGAGGACTTATGAAAGCATACTGTAATGATTGACTTGTTGAAAAGACTATGATGTGACTAATGAATTCACCTAAGTCTGTCATCAGCATTGGAAATTTATACCTCACTAAACAGTGACACCTGTTGCTTTTCAAGCTAAACTAATTCTCCTCCTTGACCTCATAAAATAATGAGTAATGGACTCCATACATGAACAGGCTTACTGACCAGTATCCGTATATTGCTTATTACACATATGGAAGTTCAACCCATCCTCTGTTACATGCAATAAAGTATTAACAGTGTAATACATTGTACATGGTCAATATCAAATGACTATGGACGCAACTTGAGCAATGTTACTCTGTCAAAGGGGATGTTGGAACATGTAGATGTACATCATGTTGTCTTTTGTCATTAGCATGACCTACAAAGTTCACTGTGGAATGTGTAAGATATCCAAAAGGAGGGCAGTAGTTCTGTGCAAGCTTTCAGGTGTAATTACCCTTATCTGTAAACTGTCTACACCTCTTAAAAGTGCCTCATGTTTACTACTGCCACTTCGAACTGGGTCATTACTTTGTCCAAGCCACCTCTCTTGACCACACAGATCGAGAAAAAACAACTGGTCAGTGTAATGGCATTGTTGATTTGTGATAGGAAGTACGTAAACAGCCAGGCCTGGTGATGGCCTCTGCAGAAATGTAGCACGGCCTTCACATTCAGAGTATGTCTGGTCAACTGGGCAAATTAGCCTCGATGCCAGACCCATAGACAATAGGCCCAAAGTTATGCAGTGTGCACACTGGATAACTTTGGGCCTAGTGTGCTATGAGTCTGGCATCCAGGCTATGGTTGAATGAGTCAGGCTGCTTTGTTTTCCTCCACACAGACTACAGATGGTTAAGTTTCTACCTATTTGTGCAAACTAAACACTGCAACAACTATAAGCTATCTTCCAAAACCTCCTTCATACAACTTGAATTTTGATTCTTTCAATCAATTTCTTAATCATACACTTAGATAAAAATTTGCATGGAAACTTTGAATGCTATTGATTTGGCCAGATCTTTCCATTCCACTGGCAGTGGTAAGTTTCCATCAACCCATTAATATGAGACAAGTGACTTGATACACCTGGCCGTAAATGACAACCGGCTTTAAAGTTTAATAAAAGAAGTGTCTGTGTTTATAACTTTTCTGTTTATAAGAATACTACTGACCACCCACATTGTTATGTTTCCAATATAAGCTTTATAAATATTTGCTTTCTATTATGATATGTAATTTGCATAAAGCTTTGGCCAAGTTTATCAAAGCTATCAGTCCCTGTTAGTGATATGGTTGAGTTTGAGAAACATTCTGCTTGTGTGGCCTGGATGCTGTCTGAAGCTGTCTAACATGTCAGATCATGAGACAAGGCAGCAATCACTACTACTGGGACAGAGAACAAATATCAAGTAATCAGCTTACTAGTAGTAATACATCATTAGTCTTGTTTCACACTGTTGTTTGACTCTGAGTACAATTTGCTTACATTTCATATACATGTATATGTGTTGTGTACTGAAGCTATGGAGGTAATTTCCCCCAATGAAACAAATTATTTTTTGTTGTACAATCATATTTTCTCTGGGGCAACTTTTCTGTGTCTTCCACATGATCCTAATTCTATTAACTACACAGAACAGTCCCTAGTGGGGATGTGACAAAGTCGGAATGACACATGGAATTTTTCTCACACCTAGTGGCCGGTTTGCAACTCTAGTAATCTGGAAACCATTGACTGATGCATTCACCCTGTTCTTTGTTATTGTACACTTTACTTGGCCCATCTTTTACAGGGACTGCTGTTGTATCTCAGCCAAACTGGGCCAGACATAAACGGCTTCAAAGGTTGCAGAACCTCCATTCCTCAGCAATGACTTTGACATTGACAGGGACCAACTGGACCCCATTGACACTGATCTTGTCAGTCTTGGTGGGTTCTTCTGTTTATATCCACACCTTACTGTCTTCCTAATCGCCTGCAGGCGTTGTGAGGTAGGTTACACTGTCATTGAGAAATGTCCACATTCACAAAGTTCAGCCATAAATTTGACAAGCCACGTTCCATGCCCTCTGACTGGGTGACATTGTCCTCTCTACATGCTGCTAACAAAACATCGTAAATGACAAGTCCAAAGTTTTCACATCAAACTTTTCAGCAAGCTTCTCACTTGGTCTGAATGCCTGGATTGTTGAAGCAACAACACAGACATCTGAGGTCCTTCCAAGAAAAGGGCACATGGATGAGCAAATCTACACCTGATAAAAGTGCAGGAATTGTCTCAATTATCAGAAGATTGTTTCTCAATTATATAGTGTATAGATGAGGGCATGGGTAGGCTTGGAAGAATGTTTGTTTTTCTAACTTATGAAATTCTATCAAAACAATGTTTACATTTTGGTGAATCATGCATTATGTTACATAAGTAAATAAACTTGGTGTACATTCTTCTGTTGACATGGTCAAGTCAGTGATATCACTGACATGCATCATATAGCATAAACAAAACTTAGGCTGTCAGTTTCAACTCTTCCCATTCATGTGACAGACTGGGGAGTACAACCCTCAGTCACGAGCGCTGAAGCAGTAGCCATCTAATCCTAGCCTGTTTTCTGTACCATACCAAGTTGTACTCGGATGTCAGCCCACTGCCTCCCAGGAATGTGTGGTCAGGAGAAGACTGACAAGTGCCCAGGGAACAAGATGCTGTTACCAACTGTTATCCAATGAGGAGCCAGGGGCAGTTCTGCCTAACTCTACCTCCCCACATTCAGTGCAAGTGATAACTGATACCTACAGGTTGACATTCCAACCTGTCATGATGTCCTCTTTTCTACAATAACATTTGGATAGTGGGTTTAGTCTAAGATCTTCTTGGATTCACAGTATGTCTTACTTCTCCCTTTTTAAAAAAATCTATAGAAGTCATCTGTACTACTTACTGTTTGTCTCTACAGGTACAGGTATTTACTCATCTTTAACTGAAACTAGAGGTCGGAGATCTCATGTCTTCGTCAGAGGTACATCGTTCTAGAGAAATTAACATGCGTATCTCTTCACTCTTTTTAATAATCAATTTGGTCTAAAGAACAAAAGAATCTCTGTACTATTTTTATGGTACAGAACACCCTGAAACGGTTTGCCGCAGATTATACAGATGCGTCGTCACCCGTGTTAGCCCCCCCCCCCCTACGTTACTTTGAGTTTGGACTGTTACTGGAAAAAAAACGTTCAAGAAATTCTTACTGTGTTGAAAGTGTCACGACAGCGCCGCAAAATATAATAAGAGAAGATGTTATAAAGGAAAGAATCAGAACAGGGTGACTACTGCTGTTTTGTTAATTTGTCTTTATGACAAATAGAAGACTTGTTTCTTGTGTTCTTTGTGTCCTAACATTTGTACTTCTACAGTTAGTATATTCCAAATCTAGGCATCTCGTTTTTCGGCCCTTCGTGTTTTTATTGCGCGCTTGCCTTAAATTTAAGGTAATTAGATTTAAGGTCTCCAGTGGACGTCATCCATAGCAATTACTTGGTGTGGCCGTAGAAATAAACCTGACATATGTCCAACCTATCCTCCCCCTGCTGAAGTTATAGTACAATCCCTCAATGTAACGTCATTTGATCCCATCCCATTATGGGGTTCCCCCGCTATATCCAGCTGTCGGCTGTCTCCAAGCAGATGTAGGTGGGGGATTTCTAAACACAAAAGGTCCTATTACGGGGACATAACGACCTCCACGACTCTCATCTTTGAACTCAATCTTGGAGACCACGACAGTAATATGCCTATCAAATTTCATTAACTTCCATCCACGCATACAAAAGTTATCCTGCTCACAAGAAAAATTAACAAAATGCCCCCTGTAGTCACAACGAAACCCCCCACGAAGCTCAGTAACGAACTTAACCTTGGTCTTGACAATAGTAAGCACCACACCAAGAATTATAATCAACATTTTACAAATACTTGAGTTATCTTGCTAACAAGCCACAAACACAAAAGGTGCACTAACGTGACGCACGGACCCCCCACGAAGCCAAAACTTGAACTTGACTTCGGCCTTAACAGCGGTAATCTGCCTGCCAAAAATCATGGACGTCGAATCATGCCTTCCAGAGTTATATCGCAAAATCCGCAGTTCCCCACACTCCGGCGAGACAATTTCATAGTCCTTCTGACGAAGACAATAAAGATAACATCAAATGTCTGTAATGTTACCTGTTTCTGCCCTTGTTATCCCAACAGACGCTGACCTTTACTCAATAAATCAATGATGAATCCTTACCTTCTGTTGTATGGAAGTATGCTCCTTCACACATTGGCAGCTCCCAATACATGTAATAACAATTCTAAATGTGACATTTGATAGTGATATATAGCTAAAGGATGTCATAAGAAAATTTACATTAGGCCTACCTTTCAACTGGTTAATAAGATTAAGATTCATTTCAGGGTGGTCTTTAATTACATGTATTTCGAAAACAAATTTGATAAATGTATAGAATGTGTAAGTGTTAACATACCTATTATAGCATAATTGACATATCCATATGTACAAGTAGGTATGTACATGTGTATATGTAATATAACCCTTCTATTGTCAGGGCTGATTAGCTCAGCCTTACAGATGCAGGTCCTCCTGTAGCTTCCAATATATATGCAAATTTACCTCTCACTTCTAGGACCTCAAAGTGTCAGGTAGGGTTTCGTACATTTTGGAAGCTGGACAAATCCATGTATTGGTTGAACAAATCCATGTTGCATTTGGTTTGAAAGAATTATTAGAAAACTTTGTAACACACGTTTCTTTTGAATACTCTGGTACAGCCCAAGAGAAAGGGTTTATAATGGGACATTGTTTTTGGTGTGGGCTCATCTATGATGCCAGAATTGTATTGGATAAAGAGATGAGCATGAAGGGGCTACAGGTACAGCTATATCATCACTTCCTTTGCACATCTACTCAACATAAATAGGGAGGAAAAAGTTCTACATGATCTATTTTATTACCTAAACAGGTGTACAGAGGAGTTAATGATGTGAGTGTACACCAGCAAAAGTCAGATGTCAACTGACGAGTCAAAAATGCTTGCAAATAATGGTGGCCACAATCTTGTATATGGTATTCAAACACTCAAGTTACATGTTCATATATACAAAAATGGCAAAAGTAATCTTGATGCCCCTCCATACACAGTATGGCAGTGCTTTAAGAGCTAATATTGTGTAGAAATGACAGAAGAAGAGATGAAGGTGCGATCAGACACCACTACTTACTGCCTGTAGCTGCAGAACAAGATCGTTCTTGTCCTGAGAAAGGGTGGCATTCTGCTGCTCCGTCTCCTTGCGAATGGCTTCCTCCTTGGCTAGTTTCTCCTTCAGTTGTTGGATCTCCAGCTCTTTTGCTCTCATTTCATCCTCCTAAACAGTTACACAGATAAGGCAGTTATTCACAGTGCGGAGGTTATTAAGCTTACATTACTACAAAGTATATAAAGATGCTAATGTTGAAAGTTACTGGCATGACCAAGAGTTTGGAAATGTGGTGTGCTGGGCTGATTTAAGAGAAATACCCTGGCACGTAGCAACATCAAGCGTAAAGACAAAATAATTTGAAAGGGGAGGGGCTGGGTACCATTGTCTGTGCATATGCCTCTCACAAGAAGCCCCTATAAATGTACCATAACAGTGCTACTGCTGTCAACACTTAAGGCCGAGGGTATAGGTCATAGCACCGAGGTCAAGTGATGCCCTACTCGTTAACCAACAGGTACAACAGGTGTACTCATATGACTTTAAACAGAAGAGACACAAACCTTCCAATTTCACACAAAGGTAGGATGTCTCTCGACCCCTTGGGTAACCAAACCTTGACCTGACCTGATCACGTAACAGGTGTTTACTAAACGTTATTAGGACCATTACACAGTGGTGTGTGGACAACTCACTTCCTTCCATCCTGTGTTTGTTTGCTGTGAGCTCAAGTGAGGCAAGACATTTGTTAGCAAATACAGAGATTGCTTGTAAATGTACCATCATTGGGTGCAATGCAGTGGGGCTAATTCAGTTGAAGGAAGTTTGAAAAGACAGCTTTTACTGGCTTTCACGGCATGACTTACCTGTTTGACGACCTTGAGGAGGGGCTTGACCTTGGTGAAGAGTCTCCACCATGCCCAGTTTCTCAGGACTAGGTATCGCCTGATATTCCTCTGGATGATGGACAGTCCAATTCTGCAGAGGGGGGATTTCTCATTACACAATGTAAAGGAAGATCTAGAGCAGTAAATCATCAAGACTAGTACCAAAAGTTAATTGTCATCATAACTTAGTACAAATTCATCATTCATTACAAAATCAACCATAATATTGTTACTGTAGATATACAGATATATTTTACAAGAGAAAGTACACTGGAATCAACACTGATAATCTCTTGATATTAGCAATTAAGCATCAATCACACATTCTTTGTAGCCAACAGGTAACATTTTCAATCCTAACACATTAGCATACTAACCTCTGCTCCATCATTTTCTTGAAGATCTTTCTCTGGAGCAGGCCCCGTGCTCTGGCCTGGATCATGGTCATGATGATGGCCAGCCGCTCGTCTCGCAGGTCCTCCAGGTGTCCCAGCACACCTGCCTTGAAGAACACCTGCAACAATGAAGAAACGGAAGAACAGGTGTCAAAACTATCACTGCAAAACACAGATACTGGTATTCCAGGACCACCTGTCAATGCACCATTTTGTTACACAACGTGATCCATATATTCACTTCTATTTTACAGATGGCTTACACTTGTCATTACTCCCTTGCTGTCTTAAGTTTCAATTCTTTGTTGTTCTTACATATTAAACGGAAGACTCACCTTTGTTTTTCCAATACGATATTCACATGGGTCCAGGTCGATGCCCTCGATGAGAAGTGTTGACGCCTCCCTTCCCTCAATGTAGCCTTCTGGGATTGAAGTGGGTGCCAGGATCTGGTACCTGGACACAAGTGAAACGTTCAACTTAAGAATGGTTCTGGTATGTTGAGTTGAAATCCAAAACAATGATTAAAGAATTCCAGTCATAGGTCGGAAAACATGCCTTGCTTTACACTTTCTTTTAGTAAAATCTGGAAATCCATCAATATGTGACCAATATCAACAGTTTAGACACACGCTGTCCCCATTCATTCAAATTCCGTCTCTATGTAAAAGTTGTCTGACCTTTGCCTGAACTCTGCAAAGATCATCCTGTTGGGGAAGCCCTTGCGACAGATGCGGATGCCCTCCAGCACACCGTTACACCTGAGCTGATGTAGCACCAGGAAGGAGTCGATCTCTCCCGCGGTCTTCCTCTCGTTGGGGATGATACACCGCACAAAGTGGGGGGCAGTGTTCCGCAGGTTGGTCATCAGCTTGTTCAGTTGTTCCTACGGAAATCATGTCCACAACTTAACTTGTGCATCAAACGTTTGGGTCAGCAGTTTGCACTGATTGTGAAAACTTTTTCCAGCAATGGACTACATGTAAGTTTGTACAAATCATTCACAGGTTTGGTAGCACAGAAACTTGCATGGAACACGTGCACTATGAAACAACCTCAATGTATCTCTGAAGGCACAGCACAAATCAAGGTATGAATGCATCAACATGCAATATTCCCAAACTTCAAGGAAAGCATACCAACATTGATGTGAATCTGATCCTGCAATTTAAGTGACTTCATATACCTGGAAACATGCACCTTGCACTGAGAATATCACATGTCAAACGATCAAATAATATTAATAACCTGTAAAAAAGCCAGTTGCTGTATCTACAATGTACCAGTATCATCTTTCATGCTGTTCACACACACATACAATGCAACTGCAAAACAAAAGGGTATAAAACAACTGAAAATGTTAGTTAAAACCATGCTCTCTGGAGAGGTCAGTTGTCATCCTGCATTCCTGTAATCAAAACACCTGTCCTTGTCTTCTTAAACATCTGTGTGATTGTAAACTTTCTCTGTGTTAGAAAACTTTTCAACGGTTGCTGAGAGTAACAGTATGCAAGCTTTATCAAATTTTCTCAGGTTTCTAAGAAAACTTACTTGAAGATAAGGCCAGGTGCAATTTCAACTTCAAGATCAATAATCAAGAACAAGATGTGGTAAGTATGTTAAGGTGTGGTAAGTATAAACTTGGGGTTGTTGTGTTCATCACCTGCCCATTGCCCGCCTCTCATCTTTCAGTAGCTGGCACCAACCCTACAAAAGACATTAGATTTCACATTTCTTTATGTGCTTAATGCATTATTACTTGACTCTATATATATATATATTGGAGATGCCTGACTGACCTTTTGGTACCTTACTTGTATTGTTTTTGTTCTTCCTCATTTTTTTCAAATCAAAAACGTTAGCATTAAAATGAAAATGTAGCATCCTCAAGAACTTGATAGACTGAGATAAAGCTACATGTAGATGGCCATGGATCTTTTTGCAATGCAGTGAAATCCACTTGACTAGTCTCTTATTTGATCCCCCTTCACTGCTCTGTCTTTACATGTAGCTAGCAGTGAGCATAACATACAGTGCAGAATATTTCAAAACATATCTTTCTCAACATATAACTCTGACATGTACAATTGGCATTGTCTTCTTTTCAAATGGACAATGCAGTAGTACTCACTCTGTTTAAAGTTAAAACTTTTGTTCCAACACTAGGGACTGTTCTCACCTAGAGCTTTTGACCAGTCACTCTGGTTTTCTTCAATAGACTGACCCAGTGAGAATTGTCTCGTGGCTTCTCTGAAGTGTGACATCAACACTGGGTCAAAGGTATCTGGTAAAGGATGTCTGCCCCCATCATCATTGAGTGAAGGGTGATGTGCCCTATTGTAAATAGTCTCTCCAAGAAGATGACCAGAGTGACTGGTTGGAAGTTCTAGGTGAGAACAGTCCCTTGTGTTGGAACCGAAATTTTAACCTTAAACAAGTAACTACAAACACAGATGAACTTTTAAGATAGGACTCACTCTGTGTTTTGCTGAGACAGTCTGAAAGGCACCAGACTTCTTGTGCTTCCTGGAAGCCGCTGTAACAAAGACAAAGTCATGTATTACAAAATAGTAGCAATCCACAACATGTCAACATGCCGTTTTGATTCCCTGCCTTTTGTTTTTGAATTGAAATGGTTATTGAAAGGGTAAATTTTGAAATCCAATGCTTTCCAAATTAGAAGGTTATAGAAAAGTCCACACATTGTTACTGAAATTGCAGCGGGATATCTACCAGTCTTAGAGTGTCACTGTATTGGGATAAGATATAAATACATGTAACTACAATTATGCTATTTTACTATACTGATTAGTTACAGGAGATGGAGGAAGACTTAGTCACAAACACTTTCTTGGGTACAAGTCCAAACATATGAATATCCTGCACTAAGAAATAAACAATTTACAACTACATGTGTACATGTATATTCTACATGACATTGTACATTTACATCTACACAATGTATCTTACAAGTCTAAACACTGACTCTAAAAGTTACATACAGTGCTAAACATATAACATGCAGTGCACACAGCACTTGGGTTCTTTAAGACTACTTTACTGACAAATAGACACAGAGTCAAGTAGACAGACAGATTGACAGACGTTACAGACACTAAGATATGGGAAACGGTACCTGCAGCTTTTTCAGCTACATCGATGTACCCATACTTGGGCAGGGATCGTGCTAGAGTGGTGGCAAGAGGGGGTGGCATGCAGAGTGCACATTATAAAACAACAACTCATGTACAGTACACTATCTCCAGTGTCTGGTGTATGCACACCTGTAATTTGGACACTTCAGTTTGGGTTGCAAGTCTGGGCATCACAGCCTGACCACAGTGAGAAAGAACACTGACTAGTGCTAGCTTAGATGCCCAGACTCATGTCAGTAACAATTGGTACTGCCTCCTACACCAAAAGATAATTTTTCCCAATGTGACTTGTAATATGCATTGCTGAATAATGGGAAATATCTATTCACTATCTTGACACAACTGTTTAGCCTGTTTGACTTATAAAAGTTGATTTCCAAGACGGCCCATTTTACACTGAACAAATCATGTCACATTTAGGGGTAAAGACAAAGGGAGGACAACAATCAGTTGTACGAAGATCTGTTGCGTCAAAACAAAATCATTGTCCGTAACTCATAGTCTTAGTCTGTATTACACTGTATAACAAGAGAAATTGGCATAGGGACCCAACACTGAGACAATGTAGTGTACATGTACATGGTGGCAAGTGTCCTTGACTGTGATCTGTATCCAGCATCCCTTCACCTAGCAAAAAAGCATTGTGAACCTTAATGTGCAAAGTTATTATCTTCACTTATCATAAGTGTCCAAAACATGTGGCATGCATTTTAATAGAAAACTTAAGACTTGTTGGATGTGTTTAATGGAAAACATAGTATAGAATCCTTTTGAGACAGCTACATTACTTCTGAATTAAGTTAAAGATATGGTGTTAATAATATGGTATAGGCTGTATAGTGTATAGACAGGCAGTATCAGTTCTACACACGTGTCCAGTATGTGAACATATGCTTCACTCATGCACCATGCACAGAACATGCACCAAGGATAAATATCATAGTATCTACATGTTCAGTAAAGAATATAAAATATAGTTTGCAAAAATTCTTCCTTCAGGGTTCAGGATGGTTGGCATTGCAACATGCGTTGTTGGCATGCTTGCAGTTTGTATGGTATCTGCTTAATAATTTTTTTACTGCCGACCATGCACCAAGTGCTTAAGGGTACTCTGTTGGAGAACGTACCAGGGTTTCGACCTCCACTTTCTTGTGAGGCGTCTTCAGCAAAGAGCACGGCCAACAGGTCCAGGTGGGACTTGGCGAAGCAGCTCACACAAGACTCATTCAGGGGGTCCTTGTTCTTATACAGCCAACCATACAGGTTGTAGCCAACCTGAGGGACCAGACAAGGACTTCAATCAGTTTCAATATAATCCAAGTGCTTGCACGGTTAATGCACTTCAATACTGTACCGAATACTGACACTATGATAATACACAGGAAATAACTTTGTAAGGTACGTCTATAGTCTATCTACAATACATAATTCCAGCCTGTCAAGATAAGAGATAAACATCTATCCATACCTCTTATCATCCACTGTTCAAAAAATAACCACTGAACAACATGCCAATGCTGCTACATGACGAAGTGAACATCTTTGGCATACAGTCTAACAGAAGTTTGTGATACAGGCATCCTTACCACTCCAGCATAGTGGATAACTTCAAAATGAACTTCATGTGGTCCTTCCTTCTGCACCCTGGGCTTGAGGAAGTTGGGAGACTTGCCATCATGGTTCTCGTACAGCTTTGCCTTGAAGGTGTCATCAGAAGCCTTGGGGAACATGCACTCCTCCTCCAGGATAGACATGATGCCCAAAGGCTGCAGCAAAAACAACAAACACTGGTTTTAGAGACTGATATGGGTTATTCTTATGAAAACGTCAAGGACACAACCGTTTACAGTGCCTGTATGTGCAAAGCTTTATCTAGTAGTACCTACATCTATATGATGCTCTATAGACAAGGTTGTAGACCCCAAACCTACAAAACAGCAGACCCTTTCTGACCTTCTCAATGAGAGAAATACAGGCTTCCAGGTCCAGGCCAAAGTCAATGAACTCCCACTCGATGCCTTCCCTCTTGTACTCCTCCTGCTCCAGCACAAACATGTGGTGGTTGAAGAACTGCTGCAGCTTCTCATTGGTGAAGTTAATACACAGCTGCTCGAAACTGTTAAACTGGAAACAAAATGCACCAAGTTAGAGCTGTTGTCTAGTGGTATGTGTATCACTACATGTAGAACTGCACAGCAATTGTACTGACAGAGATGTACTCATCGCAATTGTATGATCCTTAACCTTCAAAACATTAATAGATAAAGCATTTAATAATATCTTATATGTGCAATAAAAAGAAAAGAAAATTCCAACCTCGAAAATCTCAAATCCTGCTATGTCTAGAACCCCTATGAAGTAACTTCTCTGCATTCTGGTGTCTAGAGTCTTGTTGAGTCGAGCCACCAGCCAGCTGAACATCCGGTTGTAGATGGCCTTTGCTAGGGCACCTGGACAGGAAAAAGAATTAAGTAAATCAAATTAAATCAAATCAATAGCATATATTAATTCTGCACTTTGTGGGTCACTACAAGTTATGTAGTAATACATTTATAGAAGGCCATTGCCAAACCATACGGAATTGTCTGATACTTCCTGTTCTACCTGAGGTACTTTAAGGTTACATGATACAAGACATAAGCAGGAATTGACACTGATGGTTTTCCAGTAGAATTTATGGCAAGCTTACTATATGTATCATAGCTATAGGCTTTAATTCTAGCTGGTGAAATAAAGTTCTGGTACTTACGTACAGCCTCGTAGCACTGCTGCATGTTCTGTCCCTTCGTGACAAAGTCATTACCGACCTTGACCCTCGGCTTCAGGATAGATTTGACCAATTCTGGCTCTGGCACACCAAGCAGATGGGAGATCTTCTCTGCCTCTGTTTGCACAAGACAGTTCCAGAAACAGTTAATTCACTCTTCCAACAGTGAATTAACTGATAACTGAAATCTGATTTCTTGGTTGTTCGAGAGAAAAGATTGATACATTTTTTCTACAGTCTGGACAGGCAATATAATAAAACATTACAAGAAGAAAGAACTATTAGGTGATAAAAGTTGACACGAATTCCTTTTTATACCCAATATTGAAAACGTAAATAAAAAGCATCAAACCTTGTGTGCCATCTATATCAGCCTGGTCTTCCCTAGGTCTCTGCTTGAACCTCATATTTCCAAAGTACATGACTCCAGCCACCAGTTTGTAAATGGACAGCTTCTCCTCAGGAGCAAAGCCGAGGATGTCGAACCCTTCATCGGTGAACTTCATCTCCATCGAGTCGTCCACTCCATCTATTCTGGTGTCTCCTTGGGAAATGAACTTGTAGAATTTGGGGTCTGAAGTCAAAAGAAGTTTTTCTGCAAGAGAAAGATGAATAGTGCATTAGGCTGAAATATATGCATCAAAAGAGGTACATATGGTATGGTCGCATGTAAACAAATGCAAAAATGTGTGATATAAACGTGTAGAAGGAAACGTATCAACTAAAGGAAGGTGTTGGATTTCAGTGTTAAGTTTCTAGTGAAGATGAACAACAGCAAAGTCAGACTAAACAATTGTTCCTTGGAGGAGAAACATGATAATGCCATTACTGTACCTTGAAGTTCTGGAAACCTCCCTGACAACAGGTAGTAAAATATGTGATAGCAGCGCTCCCCAGGTTGCTGGGCTGTCACCCTGGACTTCTCCAATAGATCTGGCATTGAAAGAGGAATACCAGTACTGCTTTTGGGAATGACTAAGATTCAAATCATACTTCTGACTGACAACTTAGGGAAAATGACTGAAACATTCAATGACTCATCATACATTGTAGCTGAGTACAACTAGCATAGGCTGAAGTAGTCAAACTTCTGAAAAACAAAGTCCTACTACAACTCACAACTTCAAGTCCTTCGATAAACACTTAAGTGGAAAAATTTTATGTCATGCAAGTTTTAATAGGAAACTTACACGTCTCAATGTCAGCCCCTGCAAGTTTGCCATTTGCTTGAAAATGAACTCTGATGAACTTTCCCTGAAAGAAAGAAGTTTAAAAAGATATTTTCCCTCTGAAATCCAAATAGACAACCATGACTAATTTTGTTTCATCACCAACAGGACTGTTAAGGTGTACTTCATTAAGCTAGGAAATCAAGATACACAAATCTATACATATTATGTAATACCATGTAAAAGAATTTCTGACTATGTGCCAAGACTTCATGTTGCTTCCTTTCACAGTTTGTATTACAGCTGGTTGTTCATTAGGCCACTTCACCCCTATCTCTAGAACAGGACTTTACTGATAAGTCTAAACGTGTTGCTAATTTACAGATGTCTGGAGCCAGGATGAATGTTGTGTACTAATGGAGATTGTGGAAATTCAAACATGTAGGAGTACTGGAGAGGATAATATAGTGCAGACTCACAAATCTGGAGGAGTTGTTGTTCCGGACTGTCTTGGCATTTCCGAATGCCTCCAGCACAGGGTTGGTCTGAATGACTTGATCTTCCAAGGTGCCAACCTGAGGAAGAAATCAGATATTACTTACCCCTGTGGGATCAATTTGGATCTTATGAATCACTGAGTTAATAGGAAACATGTCTTCTAGATCTATTGGGAAATTCTGAATCTTATGCCATGGTACAAAATAACTTTAAGGAAACTGTGCTAAATGAACATGAACATTACAGGTGATTTAAAATTTTTAAATACTTTTCCTGGAAGAATAAGTTGCCATGACAGATATAACATAACATAGGCAGTTGAATACATGTACTTTTAGCAGTTGATTATATTATATTTAATGTGTCCACTGGGCTTTTTTCCTTCTAACAACTGATTGGGCCTTAGTAAAGGTTCAATCAGTTTTTCTTTTTAGAATAAGACATTAAGAGTTAGACATAACATGATTAAGCACATCTAGCACACTGACCTTTGTGTCCTTTGCGGCCGGCTTTGTGTCCTCAAGATGATCCTTCCTCAAGGCTGCAACATTCGCAAAGTACGCAATGACCTTTTTTGTGCTCTCTGTTTTTCCTGCACCACTTTCACCTCTGTGGGGGAAAATATGTTTTTATAGAAAGATTAAAACTTAATGTCACAGTGGAGATGTAATAAAACCTTATTATTTTGTCTTCACATACAGAATAAGATGGATTTGTTTGTAGAGAAGGAAGGAAGGATTTTACTGATGATAACTTCATCTTTTAAACTATAACTCAAAGTTCAATGTATTTTCAACTAAGTTCATAAATAACTGGCCCCTGCTGTATAGAACACAGGATGACCGAGTGGCATTATTTGTGGATCTTAAACCAAACACCAGGATTATAGCAGGAAGAAACCTGCATACCAGTGTATGATATACAGTCATGCATAAGCATTCATCATCCTCCGGGTTTGTAGAGCTTAAGTATGATTAGAAACAATGCCAAACAGGTGTTCCTGCTTAGATCTGAAGCACTTCAGCTTCTACATGAGCTATTTATGATCATATAACAATTGCTGAACCCCCATAAAGGAAGAGATGTTGGGATGCTGATGAAAGATGTTCACGGTGGTCAGCACGAGATTTCTTCTAGGTCAGGGTTTAGAGCAAGTTTGATATAAATACCAGATTGTCTGATCATGATAATGTATACTGTACAGTATTGACTATTCTTCTTTTAAAGGACTTGTTATCTATTCACATCTCTATACAATAACATTGCAAGAAAAGAGAGGATGTACATACGTGATCAACATGGACTGATTGTCCCTATCTGGAATATTGAGGAAACAAATAAAAATGTCAGTACATGAATGACGATAAATAGAAGTACATACAATCTCTTTCGCTTTCAAGAAATAAAACACTTACATAAAAGAAGTCAAAGGTAACCCAGGCCATAGTTGTATTCTAGCTGGCCCAGGGCCAAAGTTTACATAATTGTGACAGAGTTGTTATGCACAAGTGTTATTTATGACCCTGTTGGAGTGGGGAAGAGAGTTACAGTCACATGTGACACAGAGCAACAAGATAAAAATTAGTTTCACAATTGATTTTTTACGTGAAAATATAGTAATGGAATCACAGTATCAGATTTCCCATTACCAAGTTGTAAGTTATTAGTACACTTTTTTGTAACATATCAATTCCCTGTCCCATGGGACGTTATAATAATCTAAGTACATGTATATACATTATTATCTATCAACTTAACCAGACCAGCACATTCTATATACTAGTATGTTCACAATTCATCAATGTATTGTACGTGTTGTACATGTATGTACAATATTATCATCTTGGAGAACATTGAAGTCAAATTTCTAGCCAAAACAGTTAGCGTTAACATGAATATTTTGGCATGTTCCTATGCAAAGGTATGTGAAATCCCACTGTAAGGCAGTAGTTATCCACTGTTGACCATCAAAAGCCTTAAGGATGACAAAACTAGACATAACAAAGAAAAGTAAACTTCTGCACTAAGCCCACACAACAAATTCCGGAAATATCAGCCATTGACGTGCAGCTAACCATGTAACATGCTTTTGGGAAACACAAAACCTCAAAAGGCAGTTTACATTCTCAAGTGTAATGCGCTGAACCAAACAGGCGTAAACTTGACATTTACACTAAAGGCCAGACCAAATGGTCAATGTTATTTTTAGTTTTGAGAAATTAGAAAGCTGATAGCTACACCGTATTTAGGAAATGGCCTGCGAATGGTTGGCCCAGACTCGCTCTACTGTTGCTAGAAATAGGAAAGTTGGAAGACTGAAAGGTTTTCAAACTGAGTATACTGTGGGACTCGGGTTTTCATACTGTACATACAGGTCATGGACAATCTTGTTATCATCATCATCTACATTACTAGTAATTCATCCATCATTAACAGCACTACATGTAGTTTGCAGATAACGTGCCATGTTATCTGTCACTTTAACAGCAGGTTCAGCTACAGCACTGATGAATGTCTCTCCCAGCAGCTGACAAGTGTCTGTAGATCGTAGTTTCTTAACCAGAGACATTCAGTGGTCAGGAGTAGCCCCTAATGGGCTTCTGCTGTTCTACTGCACAAACTTAAGTCAAGCCGCATTTCCTTCCAAAACAAAGATCACCTGGCAAACATTCTTCACAGAAACATGACGAGAAAAGTGACTAAAGTATGACATGTTCTTTAAGAAAAGTTTTAAGAGGTTTATGCTAACTTTCAGGATATAATTGTCTCACTGTAATATATCCTTGCTACAGTTTAATAAATTGTGGTATCAATACATACCACAAATCATTTGCATAGTCTGTACAGCTTATAACATACGAGGTAATGAGAGACAATGAAAAAATACTGTTGTAAAAGACTTAGTAGAAGAAATTTAATTGATATTTTCATTATGCATGTAGAATGCTCAAGATTTCCTACAGTTTTCTTAAGGTCATTTTCTATTTACAAAAAGTACCTGGTACTAACATCTTTATTCAATGCTTTTCATACTTTTTGATGATGCATAATATACATTGCCTCTATATTTGCATTAATTGCACAGAGATGACGCACATTTCACATTTTGTTTGTTTGTCAGCAGTCACTCAGTGCGAGCTGTACCATAGCTGGAGACTCTGCTGACCTCCAGTCATGCTTAGGGGGACTTATGGGATCTGGAGTAGTTTGCATTACAAGCACTTGGGGACAAAACCTGGAAGGAAGTGAACTTAAATCTGTCTCCAAGGGGGGACTGGATCAACAGTGGCAGCCACACGGAAAGGAACTAATAGTATACATTCTTCTTGCGGACTTGGTTTTATCATGAATCAAACACATTCCTACTGAATTCCACTGCCATATGATTAACTTCAGCCAACATGTATGTACGTCATTCCACTTAGTTGTTATGTAAGCCAGGTTTTTCGGTCTCAGCAGTAAGTTAGCTGTGGTGTACTACAGCCGCCAGCACTTGAATTTAAAAGTATGATGAGATGTACATGTACATGTATGTGCACCAACTAGTTTTCCCACAAACATCTATCAACTTGAGGCCGATGACCCAGTAACACTCAAAAACCGTGATGTGGATAATATTTCAATGACATCATCTTGAAGGTATCTGCCAGGTTGACATTACATAACTATTGTGGTTCCAGACTGACTGTCATTATAGGATATAATTGTGTCAGTTGTTGCTTTTTCTTTGTTTCTTTAGGGCAATCCACATTTCCTGTTATCACCTGAAAAGCTGACGGTAGCTAACCATGTCACGAAAGACTTTGGAAAAGTTAATTCATTGTGAAAGAAAGGGCTTAACATGCTCCATTTCCAACTGAATCAGAAAGGTGAAGGACTGCAACATGAGGGCTAACTTTACCTCTTATTGTCAAATTTACAGAAATAGGACAAAAATTGTTTGGAGGTACACATGCACTAACTGTACTGTATGTGAGATTTTGACCGTTGCTAGAAGCCATGATGTCAGGATAGCTTTGAACTGGCATTAAATATCAGGCCTGTCACCCCCCAGTGCTGTTTCTGTAAGCTGGAGCAAGCTGAAAAGCATCAGGTTGTTGTGCAAACAGTTTTCTTGCCATAGGGCCAGCAGGATGGCAAGTGTCACTCACCACATTAGGAGGGAAGGGCAAACCAATTATCTCCCATAATGCCTTGTGCCTCTCGTGCATAGAAACACAAAAAGGAAATGATAGAGAAGAGATGATATGATCTTTAGATTCTCAAAGGAAGAAAGAACAGAAGGAATGAAGAGAATAGAGATGAGAGAAGATAAGAAATGGTCGAAAGCAAAGAAATGAAGAATGTAACATGATGATGGAGGGAATAGCAGAACTGCCACAAGGATGATGGGAATAAGAAAATGGTTCAGAAAAATAAAAGTAAGGAAATAAAATGTGGCCCAACCAGGTATGAAGTCACTACCAAAATGTACTCACCTAACAACATGCTGTTGTAGGCATTGTCAGACACCATGAAGACATGAGGATGATGGGAATAAGAAAATGGTTCAGAAAAATAAAAGTAAGGAAATAAAATGTGGCCCAACCAGGTATGAAGTCACTACCAAAATGTACTCACCTAACAACATGCTGTTGTAGGCATTGTCAGACACCATGAAGACATGAGGAGGCATTTCTGTCCTCCGCTTGCCCTTGTACATGGACACCACTTTGTTGGAGTAGATGGGCAGGGAGCGGTAAGGGTTGATGGCCACACAGAACAGCCCAGAGTATGTCTGAAACAGAATATCACATATTAATCAATCAATGGTCTATATTATAGGAGATAATTCAGCATATAGCGAAAACAAACATCAAAGTCACAGGTGAGGCCTTAATATTTTCCTCTTGCCCCTCTTCCCATTCCTCTCTTTTTCTAATTATTGTAAGATTTTATAATTCTAGTATAAATCAAATTTCAAACTAAAGATGAAATGTCATGTGCAATTTTATTAGAATGTCCTAATGTACATTTGTAGAGTCCAATATCTATTGAATGATTAAAGCAGGCCTTAAGTTAATATCCTGAGGATTTGGGCAGATGGGAACTCCAGGGACAGGTGACAATGGTTAAACTATTGTCTAGACAGTAAGCCAATCATATATGATGAACTCCATCTCCAAATTGATGGGATTTCTCACCAAGGGCAATAGACCTGAGAGGAATGTTTTAATAAGAGGACGAAATGCTGCTTATTTTAGTTCATTAGAGTTTGCGTGATGCCGCTGGTGTTCCATGACCGAGTCAGGTGAATGCAAGGTCACTGCTGACGTCTACAGGAGGAAATACGCCCCTGACTAGGGGATGATAGCTTGTGGCTGTGGAACTACAGACATGGGCTAATAGGTCTGTGGACAAGGCTGTAAACATGCCATGGAATTCTCATTCAAGTTACATCTATCAGTGTTGGGACAACTGACTTTGATGCAGCCATGATTTCGATGTTAGTGGAGAAAACTTTCAATTGCATTACCAGTAATGCTCTATATCTAAATCCAATGTTGTATCAACAAACCACATGTCAATCCTATATTTCAGTAGGAAAGAAACTCAGGCCCAACAACTTTAATTCACACCCACTTTCAAACTTGTAGACACACATGTGGCAAGGCCTTTAACACGATGCCCTGTGTGTTATAGACTCCCCTGTAACATGACATAACATTTCAGGGCCTTGATGGACTGTATGAGGGAAGTCTTGACTTTGTGTTTGCTCTTTGTCATTGGCTGAACAGGAGAAGATTGACCTTGTCTCCTGCGTTTAGAACTCTGTAAACTCTGTCTGGTTCCTCCCTTCTGTTTACCACCACAAACAGCCCTGCATTCTCTCTCCCAGGTGAAAGGATCCACCTGTTTCTACCTTCTCACCTGCCAAGGGCAGGAAGAACGTTTCCGTGAACAAGCACAAAGTCAAGTTACAGAAAGCTTGTACATGTACATGTAACACAACCAGTACTGTCATGGTGGATGGCATATATGGACCAACCACTGAGAATGGCATAGCTCTGCCACACTGCTATAATATGAGAGCACCTCTAATGAACCGATTATCGTTTATCACACACAGTGCTCAACAGGGAATCAAAGAATCAGGCTTGTCACTAAATAAGGATGGCGTTTACGTCTGAGCTGTGTCAACAGTGGAGTGACAACATGAATCAGGCTAGTCCTGTCACCAGACAAGCTCAACTTGTCTTTAGCAGCTAATAATGATAGTGTTTATCGAAGTCTTTTTTCAGAATGGCTGCTTGACTTGTGCACATTACCGTGTTTGGGGATGATTTCAAGCAGAACTGCATACCCAGTGGGTGCTGATATATTTGTGGAGCTAAATGGACAAGTTCTTGGTCACTGCACACCTTTGAAGCATGTACAAGAAGAAAGTTTTCACTGCCTGCATTTGGCCTCATTACCACCTGGATACCTGACAAGCGTTTATAAGGAAATGGCCCATCTGGATCCTAATTGGGATAGGTGATGTTTGGCAAAACAGTTCTTTACACCAGCCCACATTTGAGTTACATGTACGACGTGATGTACAGCCCATTGTAAAGTTCATGTTCTTTACACACACAACATGTAGTGTAATAGCAATCTGCACTTCATCACCAACCCACCCGCATGTCACAAACTTAAAACGTGATAAAATCTTCTCATATTAGTAACAATATTTTTGGGCACTAATAAAAATAAATGAGATATACAATATGTCTTTGGAGAAAGTGATCAAATGCAGCTTCAGATTATCATTTACAAGATACATACTGATGCCTCCTGGATGACATTCACAGTTATAAAACTTCTCTGCATCATCCCTTACAGTTTTGAAATTGAAAAGGCGGTCCATTGTTGCACACATTTTTGTTTCTCAATGGACCATTTTTGGCACAGTAATTACAAAAAGTCTAGTTGTTCTTCATTACTAATCAGTTTGGACAAAATATTGACAGGTGATATTTTTAGCTTCCATTTATGGTTGGTCAAACTCCAGTGAACTTTTCCAGGACCTGTCTTTTGAACAAAAATAAATGTTCTAATTTTTTTGGCCACCCCCTGAATACCACACTTGTTGGTAGATCCCTGGGGGTTGCAGCCATTACCAGACAGTGGTGAGGGGGTGGACAGACCACAGAGTTGTCTGTGAGATGTGTTTTGACACAGAACAACTGGTCTTCTTGATGCCCACATTATCCTCACTGAGAGAAAGCATTTGCCTCTCAGTACAAACAATTCTCCATTTTAAAACTTAAATTTATTTTCTTCTCATTAACCTACAATATGCTCTTGATTAAGTCAGTTTAGGTTTCCTACATGATGTCCTCCATTCCAAACAGCTCCATGGTGCCCTAAATGTTCTGACCATCGAGAGGCAAGCTCTTGCTCTACATGTTCACATTCCAAGCCAAATTGGGCCAAAGCTGATCAACGGAGGGGGCCGTGAAGTATAAACATGACATCTCCCGGCACACGGAAAATGAAGTGCACTCTGAAAGATGACGTTTCCGTAAACTGCTAACAGAGAATGACCAGGTCCTCATTAACAATCACCCGCCAGGAGACCGGTTACGCCGGACGTTTTCTGATAGCGAGAGCTTGCTGCGGTTGGGATGTATTTGTTGATATAACAGATATGTAGGCCTGACATGTTTTCTAGAATGTGGTTTCAGCAAACTCTGAGATCTCTGGTGTTATCTCCTATTCATGTGTGTAAGCCCCATGAAAGACTGGGGAATCTGCTCATGTAAGACAGATGTTTCATCCAGACATTCTGCACAATTAATCACTCAGCTGGGAATGTCATAAACAGTTTATGTTAATGGAAAAATAGCTACGCAAATCAACTACGTCTTTGATTAAAATTATCCTACCAAGTACCAACATTAAAATTACTCATTACTTTTCAAGTATATATATTTATTCACATATTGACATTACCATCATTACACAAGAAAGCAGGGACCTGTTTCAAGAGAGAACAAAATGGACCAAGCATGTCTTCCAACTCGATTGTTTTTCAGTTCTTATACATCTCGGGTATAAATCTATGGTATCAATTGAAAGTTTTCAAAACACTTCAAGTCCAATAAAGCAAACCCTTCCATAGCATGTGGCTTTAGAAGGGTTTGTGACCTTCCTATGGAAAGATACTTGCTTGAAACACACCATCCAATTGCAAGTTTCCAACACAATAAACTGTTGCTGACATATCATCCACTCCTTTAGTTACCACTTACAGAGGTGCCTGGTTAAAAATAAGACCTGTACCAAGAGAGCATGTCGATTGACTGAGCTTTGCATGAGATGAACAGTGTGGCTGAGTGAATCATGGCCCATAATCACATACAAATGTGCCTCCTAGACTACCATACACCATACTGTCCTCTCAGGGTACAGGGTTAACCTAGGGAGAGCACAAGTCAGCCAGTTTTCACTTTGTGTTTTCAGTTTTCGATGCCAACTTGATAAAATGGGATCCAGGAAAGTGTCCTGTAACCAAAATTTACAACTTATCTTGTACCTAACCTTTACAGTGTAACTTAGACTAGTCTTGTATCTGATTTGCTTATAGTAGTATATGGGTAGCAAATCAGTTAGCAAAATTTCTGTAACCAAATTTGACCATTAGAAGTCCATACAAAGTATCAAGTTCTTGATAGACTTGTCTGCTAACTTAGTTGTCAGGTCACCCAATTACCACATTTGTTACAGTAATGGAGTGATTCAAATGTGATTATCATGTGATAATCACATTAAAAAGCACATTACAAGTACATGTAATATGCAGCAATGATCAAAACCAAGAAAATACTAAAATAGAAAAAGCATCACTCTTCTTTTGTTAATAACTGCTTACTCTTATACTGCAAAAATGGTCTTTAATTGAATATTTGAAATTGATTTGATTTTCTGACACTGTAACACTGTAAAGAAATCTACATGTATCATTTAACTTCATTGACATAATAATCCATGATGTTGGTCAGAAAAATAACAGGGCCAGAATAACTCATTCTCAATCAGACAATATATTTTTCTTTGCCATACAAATTTAAGGAGGGAAACACAAATATGTCCCCTGCATAGTCCAAAGTTAAAGAAGCCATTTAATAAAGGGACCTGTGTGGCCTGTGTAGCAGGTGTCAGTAGGCTATGTCAATTGGCCTTCCATGCTTGGCTGAGCCAAGCCACAGTTCCTGACCCATTTTGTTACAAGGTCACACACAGTCAATGGGACAAGGAGGGTGGCTAACCCATTTTGGGAGGAGGGGGGGGGGCATGGACGGAGGGAGGGGTCAGGTGGTCCATGTTTCCATAATAAGTATGTTTCTATATTTTGGTTTTGACTTTCTGTCCCGTTTATATTGACAACATTTTCCTCTGCGTTCACAAAGTCTTTTGTAGTTTGTACTATCCTAATACCATAGTACTAGTATATATAACAAGAAAGTTCCAACATGTCTACTGTTAATAGCATTTCACCTAATACATGTATTACAGGGAGAGAGTAAAAGTAAAGCATTACCAGAGGAAGCTCTGTTGATAATCTTTCTTAAGATTGGAGAACAACTTACTTAGTATAATTGCATCAGAGGATTTAACCCTTTTTGCTGCAGACATTTTACCAGGTTGATCCCAAGTCTTTTTAGAGGGAATGGATTTGTTCCACCTAGCTGTGCCCAAGCAACAAAACTCACAGTTTACCCTGATCTAAGCCTGCCCCTACTCTAGGGTTACATCTTCCACAAGATGACTTAATAAGGTGTGTAGGCAGGTAAATGAGTGTGGTGACCTCTGAGTCAGGAGATGACAAATTCTGCAGCGTGGGTGGGAGGTGCTTACTGCTTACCAAATGATATCAGTTAAGCCAAACACATCAACCAGTTACTGAGGTGCCTTCAGTAAAGCCTTCAGTAATGGTAAAAATCCCGAGGGGGACAGCCTGTCTTGTACTAAAAGCACAAACAATCCATCAGTCTACTCCAGACCTTCCTGTCCTCCTACTGTATAGGGGGACATGGAGACATGATGTTTGTAGCTGTCATTTTTGGAGGCATTTTCTTATATTGTTTATAAACAATAAATCTTTTATTTCTTCATTTGCTCTTTTTGAAGTTCCTAAGCTCTAAAGTTGAACATTTCATGGGATTGTGTCAGATGTCAGAATGATGGACAAAGAACAAAATAGGAAGAAGGAAGAGTTTTGGTTTCATTTTGTCAAAAACACTTTTCAATTGTGATTTATGGTAGTTGAATATTGTTTGTAGTATGCACTGATAACTTGCATTCAATCAAAATGTTTCACTGAAGGAGGGGCCATTAAAAACCAGTTTGCATATGTGCCAACAATTATTATACTAATACATGACAAGTACTTCTGAGTCGACGGCCCAGTATACATTCTAGGGACAGCAGTATTTGAAACTAGGGCATACACTGTGTCTGAACCTACACACTCACAGTGACAGTAAGATGACATGTAAATGTAAATGCTGTAGAGAAGTGTTGACCCCTAAGACCGGTGTGCACACTTATGTTTTCAAGTGTCCCCCTGAGGTCAGAGGTCAGGTGAACCATAGTTTTAATTTCTCCTAAAACCTTTCTCTTTTAACCTTGTGTAACCTGGTCTGATCCTACCAGGTGTAGGCATACAGGGCCTCCACAGTCTATCCCACCAATAATTGGCCCTTTCTGATAGCCAGAGATCAGAAAAGGCCAATTATCCATAGAGGTATTATGCCCATGACACCCTGCTTTAGTGCTTAAGGTTTGGTACTAGGTTACACTCTATAAGGTGCAGGTGCAAAGTTTTAGCAACTGTCTTACTACAGGCCTCTTGCCCAGAAGTGAAAGTTCAAGGACCTTAAACGTCCTTGGGAGGTTGGATTCTTGTTGAAAACTGATTTATTTTCCAAGGATTGGAGAGAGATTTGTCCATCTAAGCCTAGGCCCAGTAACTTTGGTCTATAAATTAAAATCTATTTAAAAAGTTATCGTCCTTTGGAACTGAAAAACCCTTTTTGGTCAGGAACATGATACCTATGCCCCTGATGTTGCAATCTGCAACCCAAAATGGGTAAACTTTGGCAGAACTAAAGGTCAGGCCTTTGAGCACCTGATTCTCGTGAGCACATTCTGGTTATGGGTTGAATTTATCCTTTGGCAGTCTTCCGTCCCATGTATGGGGGAGCCCTGGGTGCTCGACCTCCAAGTTTACAAACCTAACACACTTGCTGAGAAAAGTAGGGGTGAGCCAGCAAGCAGCATTTCACTACCTCAGTCCTGCCATAGAAAAAGTGTGACATCCCAGAGGAAGGTCACTCATTACCTTGATCTTGTGACACCCCCACAGCTCAAAATGGTATGGTCGGTACGAACATTGAATTTCAGTGCCCCATGTACTCATGAAAACACCATTATGCGTAAATATTACCGACTTTCCAAAGATGTGTATTCAGTCACCCTGCACAGCAACTGTGAAGGAACTGCAGTGAACCTAATAAGGCTATGCAAATTTCACAAGAGATTTTGTCAGGGTCACAACAGAGTAGGGGCAAGATGTTCAAGAAAATAAACAAATAGCATGAGTCTGCATTAGTTGAATGCAATGGTTATGGTCAGGTTGTAGAAGTTGTGTGAAGGGGCATTATCTATTGTCAAGTCATACATGCAGGCTTTGATGATGTAATGTAGTAATGTACAACTTCAGCTTCATAGACGGATAGGTGTCATTTGTTACAACTTCTCCAAGTTATAACAGATGGATCTAAACCATTTTTCTGGTTGCCACAAAACAGACCTGGGGAAATGTGAAACAACTGACTGAATTCAATGTTTGTTGTTGGCTATATCCCAAGTGAATACTATGGTGATTACTTGTAGTTTTCAGGAATATGATAACAAGCTAAATGATAGTAAAAAGCAGCCTTATTTATTAGACAATGAAGCAGAGGGAAACATTGTCCACCTATGAATCTTAGTATGATTCTGATGTTGCTATAAAAACATACAGACATACATACTGATGGACAATGCTGCACCCTGTACAGATTCACCAAACTAGGACATCAACATACCTTTCCTCCAAGGACAATTTTTATGATTTATTTACTTTTCTTGAAATAAAACACCCCACCTGAGCAAATCCATGGCATACCTGATGACTATAATTACTGGTGGAGGGAATCCTACGTATCCAGGCAGGACTGTGGAAGCGGACACTCCAGTTTTATGACTTTGCTCAGGTGGGACACCCCAGGTGTTCCCGGGATGTCCTATGATCCTATATGGAATGTACAGAGCACCCAGCTGTCTCGGGAAGTAGAGCAGATTACCATGCTTATCACTGCTATCTGGCCTGTTAGTTTCTCTATCCCTGACAGTTACTAACATCTTGATAATGTTGATAACTGCTCCAAAGTTAAATGGAATAATTTTTGGACTATCCAGATCATTATTATGTCTTTACCATTCTTTGCCAATCTGGTGAATCCTATAGTCCTCTCAGTTAAGAAGAGTTTTACCATTCTTATGTTTTATACATCCACGAGGAAGGTATAACTTTCTATCTACCAACATATACCAACCAGGATGGTTTAATAGTCTTATATTGCTTTCTTCAATGTTACTTGTACATATACAGAACATTCAACACGTTGTCATATTCTTCAGTTTTTATCTTATCGTATTATCTTATTTTTGAATCATTTTCAAATGAAGATGATAAAGAAAATTCCCTTTTGAAGCAAAATTTATGACTCATCAAGATTCCATAGAACTTCTATTTCTCCTTTATAGTACAAGTATTTTTCTGAATAACCCACACCCCCACTTTTTCAATGGAACAGCCCTGTTGTACATTTTGATGGACATCACTTTCTTCGAGTTTTACTTGGTTGTCATTTTTGCTATCGATCAAAACTATCTAGGCAATCAGATAATGTAACGTTATATAAACCCATTATTTTTCAAATCAAAGTGTTTGTTTAATCAGTTCTAATGTCAAGATAATTGTTTGTTCATTAAATACATATCCAAACGCAAGCTACTCTTTCAGATAAACTAAAAGAGACACTGAATTTAGGAATGGTACATCCAGAATATAAAAGTTAGATGTTTATATTCCACACACTTTCCTAGCAGACGAATATTTTTTGTTTTTTCTTTTGTTAGGGAACATATATTTCAGTAGCTGTTCTATGAAGCATTCTTTAAACTCAGTAGATATCCTAAACACCATCTAATCAATGATGTTTGTGTGTAAGCCAAACATTTATCTATTACTAAACATACGCAGTGTGTTGGTATCTTTATTGGGGACATTATCAGCCATGAGATACATGAAGTATGCAAATGCCGGGGTGTTGTTTGTCTAGTGGTCTGCCCCATGAAGGCACCTGTAACACTTCCAGCCAGCCGAGAAGGGGCGGAGTTCAAGTTCCCCCACCCTTGTCCAACACAGAAGTGCGACTTGCTAAAGGCCAGATGACATGCCATTTAATCTGGCCAGTAAATAACAAGACCAAATGGCTTATCGATGCCACCTATTAGGGATGTTGACAACAAACAAATGTGAACAACTATTTGAACAAGTACCCATACAACACCCTACAAGGCCCCCTCTAGTTACACCCCCATGTTTGAACAGGAACAAAAGAAAAGAATGCATCAATTAGAAGGGGCAAACACAGTGTACTCACATAGATCAGTCCATGGAAGTAGCGCTGCTTCAGATTGTACAGCACAGATGCTTCGTTCAGATAGGTCAAATTAGCCATGTCCTCTGTCATCTCAAACTTGGGCGGGTTCATCTGCTGGGTGTCATCCTTATTCACCTGGAAGGTCTGTGGACAGGTGCAAAAGGGAACACCTGACTTCCATGTGTCAAAGTTGCCGGCACAGGTTTGTTTTGGCATGAGCAGTTGAGTGACAGGAAAACGGCACAACCCTCTAGTCTAACTTTGTGTTTTATTTGCCTGAGAGTGATATTGGACAGAAAATATTACATCTGATTTAAAGGTCTTAATTGTATTGCACACTGCCCCTCGACAATCACAACATGTCTTAAACTTGCCACACCAAGTTTGCTAAGAAGTTATATTAAAAGGGTTTTGTTTATCAAAGGTTAGATTGTTGACTTTTCTCTTCCATGCCCTATATGCAATCTGACAGGTGGAATACACTTTTGGGCATTCGCTGTCCAACTTTTCCCCCCTTCTTCAAACGATGATTTTACGGTCAGTTACAATTATCCCAAGACATTCCTCTTGAAGTTTATCAAAATAAACAGTCGTATTTATATCAGACAGCGCACAGTGTCAAACAATTTGTTAGCTCTCCGAAGAGACAATACTTCCGTGTGACGGACTCAGGTAATGACAAATATGATCGGATGAGCTGTGAACTGAGCATCTATCACAACACAAACAAAACGTGTGGGTGTGTATGGGGGGAGGGGGGTACCGACCTTTCCATCTTCAGTCTGCACTGTCAGGGAATCGCCCTTCGTCTGTACAATCTCTGTGGCCAGGAAAGCATCTTTATCGTTTGGAATCCAGCAGTTCTTCTTGGAGTCGAAGGCCTGGGAGCGAAGTTTGCTGAGTTCTTTTTGGTCCCCGAAGAGATAGCGGTCCGGGTCTGCCCGGAGGAGCGATCCTGCCATGGTTCACCGCTAACGTCCCGCTGCTCACTTGGAATCAGAAATACCGGCGACCTCAACGTGGACAGCGAACGCCTAGAAACTGCCTTTCAGTCTCTTGTACGCAGTCCAACTCTTCAACTTGGCGCGGGAGTGTTTAAAACTCACTGCACACCGATAAATGCTGGATATTTGCCGGTAGAACAGCAGGGGTTGAAACTGTCCTTACTACAACTGTACAAGACACTCCCCTCCGTGTTCTGAACCGGACACCTGGGGCACTGGCATGGCAACTTTCCACAAATCCTCGCAATCAAATAAAGATTTATACAGTCTGACGTCTTAAAGATCTTCCCATGTCCTCTTGCTCTTCCTTGGTCCAAATCAAGGTTGTATTCCAACGCTGTAAATGGCCCAGAAATCAATCGTTCTCCGCAGGCTTCCGTCAATGGGACGTCCTGTGCAAACAAGACCCGGCTCCCGCTCTGGTTCGGAAAGTGTGCGCACCGCCCGTGTCCCTCCGCCGTGTGGAGAAGTTCACTTCTGGTCGCGGGAGGTCGGACAAATACTCCAGGTATCAGCAAAACGCAGCGCTTTTCCAACAGGGCAGGGTTTAGCGCAGAGTATCTTAACTACATGGCTCCGGGGGCGGCCATATACGGAAATGTTTTGGTGTTACAGCTCGTCTAGCACAAACAAACTCGGCAACGTGATGTAGTCATCCGCATTCCGATCTGAGATGTTCCGATGAAGAAGGTGTCGTATGCGAAAGCTCAGCTGACCGTCGCCTTCGTATTTTGAGTTCTTCACAATTTTCACAGCATTCCTACTTATCTGAAGGTCTACGGTGGGACTAGTTCAAGTACATCTGAATGACAGAACCTTGGAAAAGTTCGGCATCGAGGCCAATACTCCCCCACTCAGTTGTAGCACGGAACGGAAAAGCGACAGGTCCTTGGTTCTGGTATCAGCTGTTAATTGATGAGAAACACGGAACTTGAATCCAGGGGACGCCAACTGCATGTCTCAAATTGCCCTGCCTCAGGCCACAGGAAATGCTACTTTATCCAGAAACACCACAAATGTTATGGACCAACGAAATGATGCTGACACCATCCTGGGGAGAAAACTACAAGTATGCAGGCCATAGGGCTTGAACGCTCATGTACAATTAGCAGTGTTCTCGTTTTTATTATGTTTATCTGATCTCATTGAACAGGTTTGCGTTGAAGTACTACTATTTGGTCTCACTTGACGGATAAGAGAACAATATAGAAACGTGTGAAACTTGGTAAGTTGTGGATCCGTACGGATGATTTTGAACCTCTTACATTTGACAGGTGCAAGTAAAGTAGTGCGCCGGCTGCTCGGGGCACACCAATACCTTGTCTTTCAACTAAAACTTCATTGACATAAACATTTAAAAGCCAGTTCAACCGGCATGTCCAGTCGTGAGACAGTTCCTATGTACGGAAGTATCCCGTCCCAAGGTAGATGCTAATTGGCAGTTTCGTTTCTCCGCGAATGTTTTAACGTCACTCCCAATGCTCCAAACATAAGCTGCACCTCAAGATGGAGTGCTTTGCGTCATTGCGATGACGCACTGCTTAAGTAAACTTCACATACAGTATACACAGGCCTATCAAATACCGGCTTCTAGACAGAAGTGAAATGCCACGATGATGAAAATACTAAGACGCGCGAGTAAAACAATATCGACGTTCAGCAATGTTGTCCGGACGTCCTGATATATTGGCAATGATTCTTCCTAATAATTCATCTTTTGATCCAGCGGTTCCCTTTTGTAGCAGGGCCTCACCTCCAACGGTCTTGCAGTCTGTGTGAGAAGGCATTGTGATTGTTTTTGTCTATAAAGTAATGACGTCCACGTGTTCTGTTGTGAAATAAATCATCAAAGGAGAAAAGCACCGAACGACCCCAGTCTGGACAGCCGCCGGACATGTGAGAACATCGATTCGGTGTTTTGCATACTCCTCCAGGTGTATACAGGACAAACGAAAAGCAGGTCAGGGATTGGACACCTTATCCGTTTGGAAAAGAGTCGTGTTCCACGGACGGCCGTGCTACCCGCAGAGGGTAGGAGACACCTGGGATGGACACCATACTGACAGCATCGCACGTGACGACGGCAATGGTCTACGAATAAACAAAACAAGAGATTGACACCTGGGTGTGAAGGGAATTTTTCACTTCGCCTATATATTACTTTTATAGCTGTTTCTCGTTCATTCCCTTGCCGACATCTATGAACAAATGAACTTAAGAAGGGTGTAGCAAGATTAATTTGTAGGCACATAAAAACATAAATTTGCTTTCGAATTCTTGTATCGACGAATCACGGTGACAGAAATTTCACCAGTGAGGCCTGGCAGTGACAGTTTCCGCCCATACAAGCCTTACAGCCTTATGCGATTTAAGGGCTGGTCACAGACGTAAAACAGAAGACATCGTGCCCACACCTAAGAGCCAGCTTAAGCCCGTAGTACTAACATCTCTGGTTCGAATTCCTTATGTGCTCTCCGCCATGCTAAAACCGAGATGGGTCGTCCTTTGTTCCTAGTCAGGTGGCATCAGTGGGCTAGGCTCTCCCATGACATACACGAAGTGCGGATGCCTAGCAGTACAATTGCATTTCTAATAAAAGATTAATATTATCTTTGAAACTTTTTGCTTATATCTGATGTATTCAATAACGTATACACGCAAACGTGATGCTCTTAGTTTATTAGGAGTCTAGTAATATTTTGAAGAAAATCAACTCGGAAGAATTAAGTACACCCTAGACTGCTGGCGCTCATTCATTCTTAAATTCCTAGACATATTGAAACGGCACTTGGCTCTGGTGGTCCAGACGGAACAGGTGCCTAGGGAAAAGATTCTGTGGGAACGCGAGGAAAGCCCGACGGCAACACATTCTAGCCATCCAAACGGGGGCGAGCAAGTCGTCTTTATGCATCAAACATGTTGTCGTAAATCGTGCTTTGCTGGTACTTATTTGTGATACCCGGGGCGCATCTGCTTTAACTTTCTTTATTCAGTTTGAAAAAACAACGGTTTTATCCAACGAGCATTTAGAAGCAACATTGTCGAGAAATGCAGTTAGTACAGGTGTATGGATGTCTTTGTGATCTTGGGTATTTTTCCTGTCAGACTGCAGCAAAGTTGCACGGTTAAAAGAGTTGTCTCTTCACGTGTGGAGCCAAAGGACTGTCAGTGATGAAGATTTGTCACTCCGGTGACGGCCTTCCAAGAGCCATGCATTATTTCAAGAACAACAATCAAGGAAACTAGGTAACCCTGGAAGCCGCCTTGACCTCAGCAATAGCTTACTTGGCCCCTTGGGGAGGAGTTTTGTACACCAGAAAGCATTCCGCCGGAAGATCGTACATCTGTGTTACCAAAGATAGACCAAGGAAACGTCAGATAGAAATGCTGGAATTTTGCTATTTCTCCTTCAAAGACAAAAATGTCAAACAGGATAAAAACCAAATTAAATTTTTCATGAAAAATGCTATACAAGAAATGCCAATCGAGGTTATGCTTTTGATGAATTGAGTGAATAATCTTAAAATTGACTTCAGGGGCACTGGTAATTACGGGCTAAGTCCGAAGCCGGCAGAGAATGGTATTGTACAATTGGACAAAGACCCCACATTTCCAAAGGTGTGAGTAATTTGGTGCCTTGCTTACGGAAATGAAGTGAGAGAGTAAAACACAGCGGCTCCTGTCACAGCCATCTAAAGGAGCAGTCAGGTAAAACAGGAGAACCTTCCCGGGTCTGCCAGGCAGGCATGTCCTCCTTTGTGGTCACTGACCTTGTTGGGTGTCATGTTACCGCCATGTCACCCGATGCAAATGGAGTTTTACATTCTCCGATTGCTTGGGGCAGAACATAAACAGCTCTTTCCTCTCCTGCGAACTTCACAGGCTGGGAGAAGGGAAACTCTTTGCTACAAAGTAAAGTATTTAAAAGGATGGGCATGGCGGCTGGAACAGGTGGTACCTTCGGACAGTGCATGAGTTATTTCGAACATTCTCAGACCCTTTATAACTTGCAAAGAGGCAACTAATCATGGAAACAGCTGTAGGAAGCATGTTTTGTACCATTGGTAATAAGAAGCGTTATGAAAGGTAGGAGCATGTGTGGAAATTAGTAATAAAGGTGCTCATTTTTGCTGGAATAAAGGTTTGTGCATTTTCTTTCTGTTGTGACTTTGATGTCCAGTGCACTGCTATAAATAAACTAGTCTTACTTATAATAAAAGTAAAAACACAACAACTTGTGAACATTGTCATCTCTTCATTTGAACATTGGCATCTCTTCATTTGTACAAATGTGTAAAACTATCACACTCTAAAGTACAACTTTGCAAACGTACATCAAAGACACATGGTTAAGGTACCATCCCCACACCTCAGTATTGATACTTGGTCTCACAAACATGTACCTTCACAACCTATCACTTGTACAATGGCACCCCAACACTTAGAGATATATATTATATACCAGCTAAGTACATCATCAGAACTCAAATATTTACATACTATCAATGCATAAAATTATCTTTGTCATAATATCTACATCATCAAATCACCATTACAAAACTGACACCTGTTATCAAAATAAATTTATAACAAAAACCAGATAAAAAAAATTAAAAGTGAATTCTGCTGAGTATCGGATTAGAAAGAATGTCTGCAACTTATTACAAACTTCATATAACGTATACTGTGTAAAGTAGTTTTCAACTATCTAAGATTCAAAACAGACTCTCAGGTTTGAAAATTTTTGGAATTACAAAGTTTCATCACACCTATTTATTCCCCATGATATGTGAGTTGTTCATAGCTCTTCCACACATTTACACAACTGTACAAATATCAGGCACTTGTAATTTGATTTTACAAATGACACAGGGAATTAAAAAAGTACAAAGTTCCAGCTAGAAATTGTTCCTAAAAATGATGACATTTATCTGCTAACCTGAGACTTAGAATATCTAAAGTACACTTCAACATTAGAATTCACGTATTCCTGTGGACTGAACACTAGCACAAACTACAACTCAAAATACTCTAGGGCAGCTGTGCCTTAAGTTGTCATTTGAACTACAAAATGAGTGAGCTGTGATGAAAGTACAAACATGGTGAACAACATCTTAAGTGTCTAACAGTGTAGTGCGGTGTGAGGAGAGTGGCATACATAGTAGTTTGCTGTTATTTTAAGTAAGAGGTCATCTTTCATCAGAGACAAGTCTCAGGAGCCCATTTGTTTTCACGATGATTAGGGTCTATGAACGTATCATTGTCCTCTGCCAAAACTCTATGGTCAATCTGAAAATCTGACCCATTTCAAGACGCTATCTAGTATCAGCCCTTCTAACGGGGACAAGCCTCGGCTACGATAACCTAGCAGCAACACAATCAACCAACAATTGTCTTCTTCTTTATATACAAAACTTGGTCTCCAGTGCACAACACCCATATACAGTAGCACCTTCTCTTAAATAATAACAGTATTTAAGATTTCCCCATCAACAATCATCCATAATAAAATCTACACACCAGATCCCCAAATTCGGTTCTGTACAAAAATATATATCTTGTTTATTGCAGGAGAAACAGTTGTCATACAAAAGATGAGAACCCAGGGAGGGGTGCTCTGGACCCTGCAGCCATGCCGTTGGCTAAAGCTTGCGGGTTTGTGTAGACATGCGGCATCTCCGGCTCACTGTCGGTGTAGCTGTACGCCTTGGTCCCAATATTGTTCTGTCTCTTCCAGGATTGATACATGGGGTCGCTTGCATAGTGATTGACAAATGAGTGCGGATCCTCGCGAGTGTAGCTCTCGTAGTCACTTTCGCTCACCTGGGAATGTTTGGAGGAGGAAAAAGTAAAGATTTGAAATTCCAATCATTAGTCACTGCTCATCAATCAAGATAAGCCACAGTCTGACCATGAGAAAACATTGTACCTCTCCTTAACCCTGCTAATTGACATGACAGAAACCTTCGTTCAGCACATTCTACCATCAAGGTTTCACCCAAGGATTGCTGTGTTAGATATTTTGGAAGCAGGGGGTTGGAAAAAATCTACCATGGTGGCTTCTCAGACATTCCACAGGAATAATCAGCAGATAACACACACGTACCTC